CACGTACTTAATGCAAATTTAAAACTTATATGGTTTTCTCACGGATACCATTATCAGAACTGGACTAAATTGTAATGGGACCATAATGGAAGCCTTAGCTTTTTAATAAAAAAAAAAAGAATCATCAAAATCGATTCACCCAGTCAATAGTTGAGGTAACAAAAAAAAACAGTCGAATTGAGAAGCTCCTCCTTTTTTGAAGTCGGTTAAAAAACTCGCACTAAGCACGCAGTATCGGTTATCAATTATATCAAATTTTCTATCAGTCCAGTATACATCCCGCAGCGAGTACCCTGTCCCATCATTTCCCTAACTCCTAACAACTAAGTACAACAAGTCACAATACAACATATTATGTCCCTACATTAATATATAACTATCACAATTAATTCAACATTTGAGCATGCGATTACAAAAGGAAATTCTTTAAAAATTCAATCTCGTGATGTCAACAGTACATGTTATTATCGAGGGTTAAAGGCTATTTGGTTTAAGCGACCTTTATATTTGTTACTAGCTGACCCGGCAGACTTCGTAGTACGTCAATCGATAAATAAAAGACCTAAACAGTTTGTATAAAATAAACTTAAAACAAACAAAAGGAATCCGTCCGACGGGGGACACATCAAAGGGAAAACAAAATTGTTATTTTTATTTAATTCCGAGCATTTTCATATTTATCTACCTTTTAAACCTTCTCTGGACTAACATAAATAATTCAAGACCAAAATTAGCCAAATCGGTCCAGCCGTTCTCGAGTTTTAGCGAGACTAACGAACAGCAATTCATTTTTATATATAGAGATAGATTAATCTATAAAGGTACGTTTTATTTGTTATTCACATCAACAGTTCGATATTTTTAATTGAACTTCAATCAAGTTTACTCCATTCAAATAGCCTAAAAAAGTTTTTTTGTGGTGACATTTTTTCCAAATTTTAAACTTTAAAAGCTCTCAACTCTCCTGTAAAATTGCAAAAATGTCGCTTAAACCAAATAGCTTTTCACGCGTCGATTTATTTAAAAAAAAAAACATCTTAATAATTATTATACATTTATTATATTACTATTTTCAAAAGATAGCTTAATAAACATAAAAACCTTAATTTGGCTTCACTTTATTAATTAATTTATTTGATTAACAATTAAAAAAAATCTCAAGCTCTGAAAGTTGTGTGTGTATATAAAAACTGGTTTTTTTTTTTATTTATATTTTCATTGGCCTCTATTTATTGATGTCCACGATCCGCTGACATAACTAACACTATATCTACACACTTTATTTTAAATTTTATTATTTTCAATCAACATTTTCTTCTCTAACCCGGTTTCCTATGTCACAGACTAATTATTGTAACAATAGCCTCATTTTAATGAGATTAGTAATATGTCTACAATCTTTCATCGCTTCTACGTTGCCTGTCAATTCTAGCTAGTTAATATCTATTCCGATTTTGCTACTTATGACAATGAAGACTAAGATTATTTTTAAATAACAGATCGACCATATCTTCTGTCATATTATTATTATGTTGTGTGACAGCCACTGATACAGGGTGTAGCGTAATCTATTTGTTATATACCTATGCTTGAAAGGCAAACGTGACTAAGCGACAATGCGTGAACTTTACAGTGGACTAATTTAAAGTTGAAATACCTGAACACAAATTTTATTTTAACGAATCTAGCTGTAGTAGAATCTAGCTAGTAGCTGTAGGATTGAAATGATTTTAATAGACCTAGAAATATTATTTTTTTGCGCATCGAATATGGTCATTGCCTATCATTTATGTACAAAGCAGTTATTGTCGCTTAGTCACTTTTGCCTTTCAAGCGTCGATATATTATTATAGTCATATCTACTATAGTCCTACTAGATTATTATCTAAGTTATCTAGACTACAAATTTCTGTTTTTTTAATACTGAAATTTAACTAATTCCTAGCGACATCTATACGGAAAAAGGTTTACAAAATTTTGTTTGAAAAAAAAAATCACCCATTTTAATTTTTAACTAAACTATTATAATAATATTATCTTTGTACACAATAAAATAAATAAAATTAAACAGCGAACTGAAATATAAACATTCTAAATAAAAATTAGTCATTTTGAGCCCGTTTTTTTATAATATTTTTTTCAATCTTATTCCTACGTTCATATCAATATATTTATAAATAATTTCCAATATACATTTAATTTCATTGTAGCGTTCTCTTAACATTCTATACGTAACATATGATTACATTTTTTTTTCTCCAATAAATAACCATAAGCATTTTTGTTTTTTTTTTTCATTTATCACGTGAGCCCGACATCTTATATTTGATGATGATGATGATGATCTATTATATTTGTTATAGTCCCGGATAAAAATTACAAGTTAATAGCACAAGTTCACGAATGAGTTCCACGGGGAACGAATAACATTGTGCGAATAATAATGAAGCGCGCAAACTTTATGAACTTGGTGTAATCTTATCTCAAGCACCGGTCACCGTTCTCGTCGAACCCGTTGCTTGCGACGAAGGGCTCGACGAGTAAATTAACACATAGACACAGCCCACTGAGTTTCTCGTCGGATCTTCTCAGTGGGTCGCGTTTCCGATCCGGTGGTAGATTCTGCGAAGCACTGCTCTTGCTAGGGCCAGTTCATAAAAATGAGCGAGATGCAATAGACTACCAAACTTCGCTTTCCATTGCCGACTGTGACAATTCAAAAAAATTACTGACATTCTCAAATTTAGAGTGATGTTAATATTCAGTCGGCTCTTGTACTAATTTTATTATAATAGTTCAAAAAAATCTGCTAACATTTGGCACTTTATAATACTTAAGGGAATGTACATGAAATTCGAAAAAAATATTTGGCCATTATGTTGCATCAAATTATGTAAAAAATTTTATTACGAATAATTGTTATAAAAATATTATGTATACATATATTTTTTTGTTTATAATGAACAAAAAAAAAACACAAGATAAGTCTCGTCAACGTATTAGTCATTAAAAAAAAACTTTTAATTTAACTACATATTTACTAAAACATTTCAGAATTATATTTAAGTTTTTTTCTTCTATATGTACAAAAATGTAATGAAAACAAAAATAAAATTAATATATGTATAACTGGGAAGATCGGGTACTTTTTGGTTAATTCACACTGGCACACTTGTTTTATTTTAAATGAAGAAAATATAAAAATTGACATGACGATGTTACGAATAGTACATAGTATTTTTATAAAGAAGAATATAATATAAAGAATAAAAGATCTTGTTGTTAAACTAAATATCCACTAAATTTCGCCATACCATCCCACATATATATACAGTACGTGTTATAAATACAAGTAACCCTCCAAGGGTATAACACGAAACCGTGTTATATGAGACTAAAGGCCAGTCCGATTAGTAGAGTAATTTTTGTTGCTGTCCATATGTTTTTTTATCGAATTTTGACAGATCGAGGCCATTGACGCACACATTCTTATTTGAAACGCCTTGTATGGTATTCTTATATATAATAGTTTTTAAAAATTTAAAAAAAAATTTTAAAATCTTTAATAATTTAATAAACATAAAAAATAAGTAATATACTTTCGGTTATTCTCATTTAATATGTGTTCATAGTGCGTAATGTAATTTTCTGAATAATTGTAAACTAAAAACGCGTTATCGTGTTGTAGAAGCACCGCGTTATAGGACGGTTTTGGGGAGATATTTTCTTTCGTGTTGTAAAATACCGTGTTGTAAAATACCGTGTTATATGAGGGTTATTTGTAGCTTTGACATATTGACATTGCATACACGTAAACCATTAGAATTCAATGTCAACCAAAATTTGTCATTTCTGTAGGATAAAATATTTTTTTTTTTTGTTTACGCATCCCGTATTAACTATAGACACGATCGATTTAAAAGTGAATAATATAGAAGAAAAAAACAACTTATTAAAACCAAAATATTTTTAAAACTGAAAAAAAAAACGTCAAATCTATTCCCATTTCATCGATACTATTAATATTAAAGCTTATAAATACGCGTTTATAATACTTCATTTTTTTAGACATCTACTGTATTCTTATTAAACAGAAAATAGCACAAGGTGTTTGTTCACATTCCTTCTTTAACACGTTGACTGTCGTGTAGGTCACCGGTGCCCTACGTGACGCACTGAAGTAGTTATGTCGATTTCTGTTACTAAAGCATATCTAGTAGACTGGGAGGACAAAAGACTAAAACATACAGTAACAAATAAAAGAAGGCAAAGTTAGGCAGTCCAGGCGCCTTAGTAGCAGAAATCGACATGATTACTTCAGTGCGCCGCGTAGGGCACCGGTGACCTACACGACAGTCAAAGGGTTAAAGTTTAAAAAAAAACTTTTGAATTGTGAAAGTCTATAAAGTTTTTAAAACTTTCAGTGACAACTTAACTTGTACCGTAAATCAGTCGAATAGTTCCATCAAAGTTTACTTCCAAAGCTTTAGTAACATCAGTTGCGTCTCGTGAGCCTCAAGCGGCGTCAACGGAATTCTTGAGACATTAAAAAAAAAACCTCAAGTTAAAATTGATGAGGGGTGTTTTGGGAGTTTTTGGCGGAAAACGCGAAGCAAAATTGTGCGAATTGTTTTATTTTGTTTATTTAGTTTTTCATCGGGTTTAAATGTAATGTTATCAACTGTTTAGCATCTGTGAGAGTGCACAAATCGTCTTCTCGCATTAAAACTGTATAATCTCAAAACTTTCTAATTGTACAAGAGAGCGTTTTAAAGGTTTAACGTGTGACATTTTTAATGTTAATCATCTTTGCAACATTTATTTTTAATTTTGTACCAGTTACATTATCTATCTGTCGTTTAAAGTAAGATAAAATTATGTATTAATTTTGTTAATAGTAGCCAAAACATAGGTAAACTAAAAAAAAAAAAAAAACTAAAACTAAACTACGCTCTTTTGACAGTATTTATTAGAAAAATACTGGTGACACCAAATGATTCCGCATATTAACTGAATTTCGAATATTTTTGCGAAAAGACGAAATGTGGGGAAATTACACAAAGCCACCGGACGTGGCTTCTCGGGTTCCTCCAAAGAGTCCACTGAAAAAGTTTCAATAAATAACCACTATTTTACGGAGATCATTTTCATATCATCTTATTTCTCCTCATATCTTATTTCATTTAATAGAATATGTACATACCTATTTAATTTATGCATGTTTTTATAAATTTAACACTGACATCAATGGCACCGCTAGAAGCCGTTGCCATATTTAAAAAAGAAGATGCGAGCTCGTTCTGTCAAGTGGCACGCGATTTAGTTGCACAAACCACCAACAGATGGCGCTAGTCGTTACTTTTAAATATAGAACATTATGACGTCATACGCAATCGCTCACAGCTCCTACAGGTTATCTTCGACTATTGGACTTTACAGTGCGTGACGTCACAATCGTGGGCACGTGCTCATCAGCTCCGCATTCACGTGTCAAATTAATGAATTTAATGACGTCATGACCATAGTAATCTCAGCGAGGGTCGACAGGCATCAGAGTCGAACTATATAATTTTACAATGATTACCTTTCAGCATATCTGTGACATCACATCGAGGAGCTCCCGCTGGTGACGGTCTACCTCGTGAGGGTCGGCAGGTGTCAGGGCCTGTCCGCCGGCTGCGAGCGGCACACAACGCAGCTCTCCACCGCCGGCGAGTGCCTCTCGATTTGGAATGTGGCTGACTCCACGCCGAAGTCCCGCGCCACGCGCTGGCAGTGTGACAGCACGGCGTCCCGGTCCGCGAGGTCGTCGACCACCACGTGCGCCGATAGTAAAGTGTGGTGCGTGGACAGCGCCCACACGTGGCACGAGTGCACACCGCGGACCCCGGGAGCTGCGCGCAGGGCCGCCACGCAAGCGCCGTACCTGCGCAGGCCGAATGGAGGATAGAGATAAATAAGGAGAACCGTCTCATATGGGAGGAAGCTTGAAAAAGTGTCCCACTTTCAGTACTAAATAACAGTTCGAAAATCCTCCAGAACGGCGCTAGGGTAGGCACAGGGTATGATGAGCAGTTGTTAACTGATTGAAGTATGCTGAGTTAGGAAATTTAATATATTTAATGATTAGAGTAGTTAGGGACAGTATTATGTACAAGACCTCACATGTCTACATAGTCCAAACTAATATCGTCAATATAACATAAAATTATTGCTGTGGTAAAACGTGGAGACATCAATTGCATTTTCTTATTAGCTTCAAATAAACGTTTTGCGATTTTGTAGTGCTTACAGTTCTTTTGTCCTTTTTTATTTCTCTATCTTATTCTAATAACTTTCAGCGCCCTTATTTAGCAGACTTTAACGGACCCTTTTTACACACAGAGACGATTCTCCTTACCTCTACCCTCCATAGCAGGGCGGACCGTGAAGGACCGGCGCCATTTTTTTAAAGATATTTTGTGACCTAGTAACTAAGACCTTTAGGTAATGTCTTATTTTAATTTATATTTTTATTTTTATGAAAAAATGATAATATAGAGTAAAATAAAATTAAATGAAAATGATTAATTTGAGACATTAATCAACTGGGATGAAATGAAATGAGATGAGATGAGATACAATCTCAGTAAAATGGTGGTCATTGACTAAGATTTTTTCAGTGGGCTTTTTGGAGGATTCCGAGAAGTTACATCCAGCGGCTTTGTTTCATTTTCCTACATTTGTGACTTTCACAGATACTAAACAGTTAATAAGTCACCGTTATTACACATTTAAGCCTGAAGAAACACTAAATAGACAAAATAAAACAAATCACAAAACTTCACTCCTCCCGTTCCCGCCAAAAAGTCCGCGCACAGACGCTACCCACCTGAACCCTTTAGGCACTCCCTGCATGAGCATGCCGAGCGCGTCCCGGACCACCCTGGCGGACGTGAGCAGCACCAGGAAGCTGAACACGAACGTGCACACCGGGTCCATGAACTTAGCGGCCGGCTGAGGACAACAGCATAATAATAACAACGGCCGTCTGGTGTAGTGGTAAGTCACACGATCACTACACAAGGCGGTCGCGGGTTCGAATCCCGTCAAGGGAAGATATTTGTATGATAAATATAAAGTGTATTTTCCAGGGTTATGGACGTATATTAAATATATGTATGTGTATAATAAAAATCTTACATTTATTTCCGTTATCTGGTACCTGTAACACAAGTTCTTTACGAGCTTATCACGGGACCAGTTAACGTGGCGTGATTGTTAGTAAATATTTATTATTATTTATTTATTATAATAAAATAGTTTATTGCCTTGCACAGATTTAGATATTTTTTTTCTTCTTCTCAGTCGTAATCCTAGCGGAGTAGTCGTGGTTATGTACGAGCAGGTTTTATTGCTTGGATGCGACTTTAGAGAGATAGATCTCTATTTGTGGCGGCACGTGTACATTAAATACAATTCAATTTAGATTATTCCTAGTAGATAAAGAAAAGAAAAGAAAAGAAAAGAAAAAAGGGGAAGGCTCAGTTAGTCTCCATTTTCTTAGTCATAGAAGACTGAAATGTTTTTCGACGACGTTTTAATATTTTACTACCGTCAAAAATTTCAAAGTCAACTAAGGTAATGCCGACACCCAGCTTGAAGTCGTAAGCTATGTACCGTAAAATGAGGGGAATCGGGACACTTTTTAAGTTCGACATTGGTTATTATCGTTTTTTTTTATAGTCATAAAACGGAGATTACAATGGGTCCGCTAGTTTAAATTTTCATCTATAATGCATTAAGATATAGTTTATTAAAGAAAAATCATAAAGTAAAAAAAAAAAAACTCACTTGTCCCTATTCACCCATGCGTGGGTGAATCGGGTCGCTTAAGGAGTTAATAGAGTTTTTCGCTAGGGCTGGCACCATTCAGTAGTTATGTAGGTACCTAACTTTAGATAATTAATTTAATGAGTTACAAAACTTTGATGACTAAATTTAATTATTCTTATACATAATATATTCTTAAATACTAAATAAAAGTCATTTTTAATTCAACAAAGTTAAATCTCTAACAACTCAACAAAAGTATTGTGATATCCCAGATTTGTTTCTATTCTACCTCTAGTCCCTGTTCCTCCCAATCTACTGTACCCCACCCTTGAACCAATTGATATCTGTCCAGGGGGATCTTCAAGAGTGTTACTTACGTAGAGCTTGATGAGGACAGAGGCGAGGAGTACTCCGCAGCTCTGGATGAGATCTCCTATCACGTGTATCAATGCCGCTCGTAAATTTATGTTCCTGAAAGATATATACAAAAAACGACTTGTCAATTACATATCGAATAGTCCATCCCTAAGTTTCCGGAAGACGCAGACGCTTTAGTTATTCCTACGATAGTTCTCGTGGCTATTGAATACGATTGAGGAGGTATATGTCGATATTTGAATATTTAGGTTGTATAGCAAACCGACGTCACTCTCGCCATACATAGTTTTTATTATATACTTGCTGACCCGGCAGACTTCGTAGTGTCTCAATCGATAAATAAAAGACCTAAACTTTTGTATAAAATAAACTTAAAACAAACAAAAGGAATCCGTCCGACGTGGGACACATCAAAGGGAAAACAAAATTGTTATTTTTATTTCATTGCGAGCATTTTCATATTTATTCACCTTTTAAAACTTCTCTGGACTTCCACAAATAATTCAAGACCAAAATTAGCCAAATCGGTCAAGCCGTTCTCGAGTTTTAGCGAGACTAACGAACAGCAATTCATTTTTATATATATTATTATCTACTTTTATTTATATCTATAAACACAGAAAATAAAAATAATAAATCATACAAGTCTTTATTTGTTATAGACAAATTGATAAAATTTTATCAATTTGAGTTTTCTGAAAATTTACAAAATCCTTCATTAAAAATGAAATATAGGATAGTCCAATGTTACTGCCATCTACAGGAGCAATGAGAAACTAATCGAATCGAAGCCATCTAGTGGCCGACGCCCGTAAACATTTTTTGTTGAGTGCTTGAGTTGTTTTTCTATAACTAATTTATGTGTATTATCTATGGAGTCCGTTACCGGGTGCCGGTAGAGACGACGTTGGCCTCGGCACTGGACAGGTCCTTCATGGTGTATTCGCCGTTGAGGAGCGCGCCGTTGGCTGCGGGCTTGTGTCTCCGCCCCCAACCCCCCGGGACGCGCCCCCCGCCCCCTGGGCACGCCGCCCCGCCGTGGCTGTGGTGGTGGGCTGGACGTACAAACACAACCAAGTAGTTTAGACCTCGACATATCTTAAGATCAGTAAATACGCAAATAATTCGTCTTTTCTCATTAAAAGTGTACAATTTCCAAAAATATTCGAAATTGAGTTAATATGCGGAATCATTTAATTTTAGTATCAGCAGTATTTTTCTCATAAATACTGTCAAAAGAGCGTAAGTTTAGTTTTAGTTTTTTTTTTTTCAGTTTGTCTATGTTTTGACTACTATTAACAAAATTAATACATAATTCTATCTTACTTTAAAAGACAGATAATGTAACTGGTAAAAAATAAAAAATAAATGTTGCAAAGATGATTATTATTCAAAATATCACATCTTAAACCTTTAAAACACTCTCCTGTAAAATTAGTAAGTTTTGAAATTACACAGTTTTAACGCGAGAATAATTTAAATTTTCACACTGCTATCGAAAGGTACTATGATTTGGCGGATGTTACGTTCCGTTAAGGAGCGCTGGGCTCATCTAGTCAATTCGTGTGACATCAAAAAAGCGCGACGTTAAAACGCAGCGCTAAGTACGCGTTCTGTTTGACGAAGCTTTAATACGTCGATGCTGTTCAAAAGAGTACTAGCAGAGGATGCTGCGTGCGCTACCCACCGATGTCAGAGGCGCAGCCGTGGAGCACCAGCGCCAGGATTACGTTGAAGACTACCCCGCAACCGGACACGATCATCATCATGTCCGGCTCGATGGTGTACTCGCCGGAGTGAAGCCGAGCCGCCGCCACGTAGACGAACACGCCAGTCAGTATCCATATCAGCAGAACCGACACCATCGCTCCGAGAACCTCTGTCAGAGAAATTCCAATGCAACTAAATATTATTAGAATCTATATACTAATATACTAGCTGTACCCCCATCCCCTTCGCTGGCCATTTAAAATTAACATTATTTTATTTCTCACCCCCCGCAAAGATTCTCATCATTAACGCCCCCGCAACTGGTGTAGGAAGTCCAACAATCACATAAATGTTAGCCTATCCGTTAAGTACATGTATTTTCTACATGGATACCAAGTTTCAAGTCAATCGGATGCATGGTTCAGTAGTTATAACGGAACATCCGTAAAAAACATTGTAGATTTATCTATACTAATTGTATATAAATCTATACTAATATAATATAACTGTTTCATTTCTTCTGTGAAAGTGCACAAATGTGGGAAAATGAAACAAAGCCGCTGGACGTAACTTCTCGGAATCCTCCAAAAAGTCAACTGAAAAAATCTCAATAAATGACCACAATTTTACTGAGATTATATTTCATCCCATAGCAACTCATCTTATTTCATCTCATAATATCATTTTTCATACAAAAGCAATACATAAAAGATTAGGCTGTATGGTATGATACCTTTGCCTTGCCAATCCGAAAAATAAAACTAGTACTACTATAGAATCATAATAGTGCAAAAGCTTATAATTTAAATTAATTATAGTCGAATTTTGACTAGGGGGGTACAACTAGTACATAATATAACAATCTCACCGGCGCGTTTGTATCCGTATGACATGTGCACGTCGGGAGGTCGTTTCGCGCAGTGGAAGGCCAACAGAGCCAACGCGAACCCCCCGCAATCACTAAGCATGTGAGCCGCATCACTCATCACCGATAAACTCCCCGCCAAGTATCCGCCTATCAGCTCGCATACCTGAAGAAAACCATTACCTAAATCTTGCTTATCACTTAAACCGGTGATTCAGCTCACGGCCTGGCGTTAAGTGTACACCGATACCAATAGGCATGAAACAGCATTAATGCCGCCGCGTACCTTGAGTCATAAGTTCAATAGCACAACGATTGCCCCCCCCCCCCACAAATCGGAAAGCATTACTGCTTCGCGTCTCAGAAATAGGCAAGATGGTGGTACCCCTAAATGTGCCTATGGGCTCATTTAGGACAAATGTATTTTTATGCAAAGTTCATGATAATACACCACTTTTATGCTTTTTAGGTGAAAACATTTTCGGTTCTAATCCTAACTGAAGTATTTCGAAGTGACTTTAGATCTAGTCGTGTCTATGTTTTTTTTTATTGCATAGACGGGTGGACGAGCTCACAGCCCACCTGGTGTTAAGTGGTTACCGGATTCCATAGACATCTACAACGGAAATGCCGTCACCCACCTTGAGATATGAGTTCTAAGGTCTCAAGTATAGTTACAACGTCTGCCCCACCTTTCAAACCGAAACGCATTACTACTTCACGGCAGAAATAGGTAGGGCGGAGTACCTACCCGTGCGGACTCACAACAGGTTTACCAGTAATTACGTAAATTATAATTTTGCGGGTTTGATTTTTATTACACGATGTTATTCCTTCACCGTGGAAGTCAATCGTGAACATTTGGTGAGTACGTATTTCATTAGAAAAATTGGTACCCGCCTGCGGGATTCGAACACCGGTGCATCGCTAGATACGACTTCACACCGGACTACACCGGACGTCTTATCCTTTAGGCCACTACGACTTCAATAAAGTCTATATAGTTTCGTACCATAAAGAATGCGCACAGTACGAGGGCGGTCAGCAGCTGCGGTATCGCACTGGGGGGCTCTGCTTGTGGCCAGTGACAGTGCTCTGGTTCCGTAGCCGACGTCACCGGCACGTCGGAGTACGTCTCCTGAAATAGAACTTCGATTAAATAACCGATCCAGATTAAAATGACGTTAGTGTGACTTTTATAAAAATATTCAAGGGCATCCTCCACGTTATCTATATATTAATACGTGAAGCAAAAACTTTGTACCCCTTTTTACGAAAATTGCGCGGACGGAGGAGTATGAAATTTCCCACACTTATAGAGAGTATAGAGAAGTAGTGCAGAATGCTCATAATTTTTTTAAATTATGCATAAAAAATACAATAAATCCCTAAAAAAACATTACACACACTACCATGTATTTGACACACACACGCAACCATACTGTTTGTTTATTGTCAAACTTTTCTTATTGCTTATAGTCGGTGGTCAAATTGAGAATAGATTAAATATTGTTTGTCTTTATTAAAGTGTGGCTTAAAGTGTAGTCTTAGCGAAATCTGTGATTATATAATTTGACAATAGAATCATAATAATGTTCAAACTTATAATTTCAATTAATTATAGTCGAATTTCGACTACTGCGGGACCACTAGTATATATAGGTTAAATAGTGTAATTTTTTACTGGTGGTAGGACCTCTTGTGAGTCCACGCGGATAGGTACCACCACCCCGCCTATTTCTGCCGCGAAGCAGTAATGCGTTTCGGTTTGAAGGGCGGGGCAGCCGTTGTAACTATACTTGAGACTTTAGAACTTATATCTCAAGGTGGGTGGCGGCATTTACGTTATAGACGTCTAAGGGCTTCGACCGCCCATCAGAGGAAAAAAAATAATAAAAAAAAGAAAAATTACTTCGATTTTTATATACATTTTAAACTAAAACAGTTTAATAGCATACTCAACTAAAAATTCTAATTTTTTTTATCAAGTTGACCCAGGTCAGGGTTATTAGGCCAAAGTTGTAACATTATTACTTTATTGTCATTGGACCTTGGTACGCGAGAAAATTTTCAAGTTGACCAGACGACACGAAGTTGGTGAAGGTTACATTGAAAAAAAAAAATACAACACATACATAGGATTTAAATCAAGCCAATTACAAAAGGGGTTAAAAAAGCTCTATTTTTGGGTAGAGGAGTTCACAAGCTTTTGCTGTTTTGAAGTTGCCCGCAGAAATCACAATGTGAATGCCGATAACCATTTTAAGGACAGAAGAACTAAGTCAAGTAATTGCATGACGATTAATCTAATCTTCAAACCCGAACCATCAGTATTTAACATAGGAAATAAGATGAAAGTTACATAGATTAACATTATGATCAACGGAGAAAAACGTTCTCGTCCATTTTTGATGGTAAATTTTGGACGGTTAAATTTGAGGGGATTGGGTTCTGTAGGTGATGAGGGGCTATTTAAAAACACAACTGCTTCATTATAATTATATTGCAGATAGCTTGAACACTGTTACACAATTATAAAATTATTATCTTTATATTTTTTATAAAAGTCTTACATGTTTCTTTTACCGTGTCTAGATGAGGAGTACTGACTTTTTCTTAGGAGAATACAATCATCTGTTTTTTAATCATTTAAAATAATTCTAATATTCGAAATCTGTAATCATGTGTCAAGCGTTGCCGGCCATTACATTTATATTCAAACTCCAACAGTAAACATATCAACGGACCGAAAACTATCAAGAATATTTGGAAAATAAGTTCGTTGTATAGATTTAAATGCTTTTCAATAGGATAAATACAAAGAATAGAACACAAATAGACACGAATATTCAGGACAAACTAATTCTAAAGAAAATTTAAGAAAACTTAAACAATATTTTCTACCATAGTCACGTTACAATGTTACACTTGTATTTAACCCATAGACACAGCCCACTGAGTTTCTCGCCGGATCTTCTCAGCGGGTCGCGTTTCCGATCCGGTGGTAGATTCTGCGAAGCACTGTTCTTGCTAGGGCCAGTGTTAGCAATACTCCGGTTTGAGCCCCGTGAGCTCACCTACATGTTAAGGCGAAGCTGAAATAGCCTCTAAAGGCTATCAGCATAGGTAGGATAAATAAAAAACACTTGTATTCATAGATTCTAACAACCTTCGCCGTAGTGATAGAAAATTTAATAAATAACCCCGTTATGCAAAAGAGAACCAACCAGTATTTTGAATAGAAAACAGACTATATTACGAGAACGAAAATTCACATATACACTTAGTTTTAGACGCACTATTATGATTCGCACAAAATAGCCAAGCTGACATTCAGATGATAATTACCAACTTGACAATGTAACGTGTCAAACACGCTCATCTTCCAGTAATTCGTTTTTCTAAAAAGATCCTATTCTTAAAGTTCTTCTGCCTTGGTTAGTCCTGTTGGTGGAATTTTGTGATCTGTCGCTTTCACGATTCCGTCTGCTGGGAGTCCTTGGGGGGAGCCGCGCATCTGGTTGTAGGGACCGTAAGATCTCTCCTACCTACTCTGACCCGAGTTCCGTCTCGGGCGGAGAGAACGCCCGGAGAGAGTGAGCGATGGGGTTTAGTTGGTAGTCATCTTCGAGTCCGACATAGCCCGGACTGATCTCATGAGGGATGACCGGGTAATCGGAAAATGGAATTCCCAACGAAAAAAAAAAACGAGCTATTTTTTTTTATTGTTTAGGTGAGCCGACGAACTCATGGACAGCTGGTGTTAAGTGTTTACCGGAGCCCATAGACGTCTACAATGTAAATGCCGCCACCTACCGGTTCTAACGTGTAGTTACAACGGCTGCCCTACCCTTCGAACTACGCATTACTGCTTCGTAGCAGAAATAGGCAGGGCGGTGGTACCTACCCGTGCGGACTCACAAAACGTCCTACCACCAGTAACAGCCATTTAAGTAATATTTTTAGTTAATACAAAAATTACTGGATGCATACTACAAAGTGTATCATAATACAAACTTTAATGTGTTCTATTATAGAAACACTTAAAATTATAGAAACTCGTCTGTCCAATCTAGCGAATTAAAAATACTTCTTTTTTGCCACGTACCATCCGGCTATGGAATGAGCTCCCCTCCACGGTGTTTCCCGAGCGCTATGACATGTCCTTCTTCAAACGAGGCTTGTGGAGAGTATTAAGCGGTAGGCAGCGGCTTGGCTTTGCCCCTGGCATTGCTGAAGTCCATGGGCGACGGTAACCATCAGGTGGGCCGTATGCTCGTCTGCCTACAAAGGCAATAAATAAATAAAAAATAAAAAACCTAAAAAACGAATAAATCGATTGATATGTAATGTCGATATAAAAATTGAATACGTAAATATATACAAATAAATTAAATTTAAATGTCAATTTGTAATATTAAAATAATTTGTATACCATGTAATATATGTACCAAAATATATGGTTTTTTAATTTGTCTATCTGTCTGTCCGTTAGTTACGGATAATCTCTGGAACGACTGGACAGACTTTGACGGGACTTTCAGTGACAGATAGCTGATGTAATAATGAGTAACATAGGCGTACTTCTATTATCGAAAAATTCTAAAATAATTATAAAATATAGTAATGTTTTGTTAAATTCCACACGGACGAAGTCGCGGGCATAGCTATTATAAAAAACACAGTCTCCTTCACGTTGCTTGGATATTTTCCGCACAACACTAGAGTTCTACGAGTTACATGACCTAAAAGCTATTACCAAAAATCGATCGCTCGAAGTGGCGTAGCTTTGTCGTCTAGCCAAAATTATAGCCAAAGGATAGATTCTTTGGGTTTATTATTATCTTACTGGGTGTAGGACTTCTTGTGAGTCCGCGCGGGTATTGCTTAGATGGGTGAACGAGCTCACAGCCCACCTGGTGTTAAGTGGTTACTGGAGCCCATAGACATCTACGACGTAAATGCGCCACCCACCTTGAGATATATCTAAGGTCTCAAGTATAGTTACAACGGCTGTCCCGACCTTCAAACCGAAACGCATCACTGCTTCACGGCAGAAATAGGCAGGGTGGTGGTACCTACCCGCACGGACTCACAAGAGGTCCTACCACCAGTAAAATAAAAAATAAATCCTTCTCCGTGTGTCGTATTCCTCAGTGCCGAGGGTCATGACCTTTACGGAGCACTTTTATTAGGACTATGTTCCTCCATTCACTCCTGTCCTCCGCGAAGTGGATAGCGACATTGATGCCGGATTCCAGTCGTCTTAATCTGATCGGACCAGCGCATGGGACTACGCCCCCTAGACCTCTTTCCTTCCATTTTGCCGGTGATGAGAAATTTTTCGAGATTGTCATCCTTTTTCCTCGCAACGTAGCCGAAAAAATAAATAAAATAATAAAATTTGTAACCAATCTCCGAGTTTGGCACATCGAATATTACGATTAATTTTATACAGTCGCAATGCGGTCACGGCAGGCGACCTGTCGATACCATAGACCTATATAGTAGGGACACGACATATTGTTCTATACGTACAATTGCTTATATAAATAGCACCCATTTTGAAGGCACATACATAAACATATATCTATCTCGTTCTTACTCAGCACTTTAACTCGCAGGAAAACAATATAACAGTATTTCAGTGCGTACATAAAATGAAACATGAATATACGTAAATATCTCCGTCTCCGTCTAATGAGGCCGAAAATCCGCCATGTTTAGCGCGCCAAATGTCATTGTCACGTCAGTTCGGCCGTCTGTTTTGGGTTGTACATTATTTATTGACTTTGATATCGATTTAATATGATTGATTATATAAAATTTCATAATTTATCATGCTTAAAACATACAAAAATAATAATTAAAACGTATTTTATAGGATCTCAAGAAAGTCGATGCCCTAAAACTATTATCTATATGTATTTAAATTCATTATGGAGCCCTCATCCGAAAAATCCATTTTTCGGTCGGAATCTATTGATCATGACACTAATCATAAATACCACTTTAAAATATGTCATCAAAACATATTTAGACATTCTGTTTAGATATTTCGGGAAAAAGGCTACCGACAAAATCTCTTCGGAACTATTTAAATAAAATAGTTTTATTCCGCAGTGAGTAAAACACTATTGTAAATTTGTTAAATATTTAATAATTAAGTGATTTTAGAGAGGAAGTCACAAGGAATGACGTTTGTAATTAATGAATAAATGTTCTGTAGGTGTTTTTTTTTTCACGCGGTCCCTTGATAAGTTTAAAATTTGAATCACTCTCAAGCGAAAGTGATTCAAATGGTGCGGCGCACCTTCCTTGGGGTGCGCTGCGGTAGTATGTTACGGACTTTAGAGTCAGCAAAACAATTAAAATAGATTGTAATAGTCTAAGAAAAACACGTACTCAAAATACGATAACATTTAGCATGCTAGAAATGGGCTGATGGCTTTGAACTACGCCATATCTTTATGTTTTGCGACAAACGACAACTTTATAAAATCAGTGTAGCAACTTTTAAAAATCATCATATCGTTTACTTGGCAAATTCGAAGGACGAACTTGTCTTAGATTTCACCCATCTAAATCATATCATATTTGCACATAACAATATACCTACTTACTTCCCATTAAAGTATAAATTCTACAAATAAATAATACTCAACAATATTTAAAATAAAATGAGCCAAGAACGTTTATCGCTAAAACCTGATAACATTGAAATCTTTTGTACAGCACTAAAGCCGCCATGTTTTGTGGCCAGATGACGTCACAGTGGCACGAAATTTTGGTTGACGTTTCATTTCCATAGGTTTCCTACTTCATTGGTCGATACACGTCAATGTACTTGACACTGGTCGTGCGACAAGGAAGATTAATACCTATCGCATTTAAGTATGCGGTTTTTATTCCGTACACGGGTGAAAAAAGGTCATATCTCAGCTGAACCCATAGATATTACAAAGCCACGACGACACCTAATTTGAGAAATCAGATCCAAGTTTCTGTCAGGGCTGTGTTCCGCTTGACCCCGGAATGCACGACATCTTCGCGCCAAAAATAAACTTGAATAAGCAATTTCGAAAAGGGCACATGTCGCATATTTTGTCAAATACATTTTTTCATATACATATAGTTTTGAGGCTTACCTACACCCATTTTATAATAATTCCAGTAATTTTCAATTGTTAATTAACACTAAAATATATCTCAAAAGTTAATATTTTAAATTTTACACTGCTTTAGAAAATAATCAGTTTTTTTTCATTTCCTGAACATTTTACATTTTCAGAGATGTGCCCTTTTCGAAATTGCATATTCAATTCAAAAACGGCTTTGGGCGCTTTGAATTACAATATAAGTTTGCACCCGTCAAACAAAATTAGGAATTGCGAATTTAATTTATTAGGGTTAACATCTTCGTCTATTGATAATAATGAAAGTTTGTATTGTGTGCTAACATTTTTAACGGGAGACGGTCATCCAACATGGAATTCTACTTTGACACCCAAACCCGAGCGTGCAACCGGACTAAACCTATTCGTCAATCGATCACACCTAACAATATCTGAATCATCCCATTTATTGCCTTATAACATCAATAACTACAATAGTTTCTCACAACACGTAACTAATATCATCTGATAGTTTAGTTAAATATTAGTTTATCTTCATAGATACACTACTTTATTTACTAACTTTTTATTTACATAGTTACATGGTATTTATCAGGGCCACTTACATTCAAATTATTATTTGTTTCAATCACTTCCATTTTAGTACTCACTCAGAACTTTAATACACGAAACAATGTATTTTGAGAGGATTAGGTTAAACAATGACCATTATAAATAAAAAGAGGGTAGTTTGTAAATGTTCTACAGTAAGGCCTGCTATTCAAATACCGACAGCCTAGATGAATTCCTTTAATATTTTAATATATTCGAATCTCAGGCGGATACCAATTTTTCTAATGAAATACGTACTCAACAAATGTTCACGATTGACATCCACGGTGAAGGAATAACATCGTGTAATAAAAATCAAACCTGCAAAATTATAATTTGCGTAATTAGTGGTGGTAGTACCTCTTGTGAGTCCGCGCGGATGGGTACCACCAGCCTGCCCGTTTCTGCCGTGAACCAGTAATGCGTTTCGATTTGAAGGGTGGGACAGTTGTTGTAACTATAGTGAGACATTAGAACTCATGTCTCAAAGTGGGTGGCGCATTTATGTTGTAGATATCTATGGGCTCCAGTAACCACTTAACATCAGGTGGGCTGTGAGATCGTCCAACCAAGTAAGCAATAAAAAAATATATACTTTCTATACAAATCTTAATGAAAAATGTATTCTATGCTGAACATATAAATAAATATGGCAGATTATTCATCAAAAGAACATAAATGTAATGTTCAATTACTGCTCTAATAACATGCTATTTTGTGACCACCAAGGTGCAATTTATAATTTTACAGAATATGTGTAATTTAGTAATTTTGAAATATACAAAATTATATATATATGTACCCCTATCTGTCATCCACCTTAAAATGTGATTTTTGAAGTATCATATTCGTTGTTCCAGCTTTCAAACCAGAATGCATCACTGCTTCACCGTGGAAGTCAATCATGAACATTCGTCAAGTACATATTTCTATAGAAAAATCGGTACCCGCCTATGGAATTCGAAAACTGTTGCATTGCTGGATACGAATGCACCAGACGTCTTATCCTTTAGGCCACAATGACTTGAAAATAATAATAATGATGAGTCGGCTTGTTGGAATCTCAAGTAGCATTATCTATGAGATATAATATATACCATATTAATATGTAATATTTACCGATACATTATCTTATCTTGAACATACGTTTTTCTTGAAAGAATGTAAGTCTACAGTTTAATTTGTACGGCAACTTGATGGTTTCATAAAAAATACAGCTAAAGGAACAGCTTCTTTATGAAATTTGCTTATGTTTTTTTTTTAACAAATTTAAATTGTTATCTGCCAATCATGTGTATTTCCATACACAGCTCGGACGGAAGTTGAGCTTGGAATGAGATAATGTTGAAGCTATTGTTAGTTTCGTCATTTCGGTGTTCAGTGGTGTTTATCTCTTTGAGTTAAATCATCATTTGCAAGATTTCTATAAAATGATACCCTATTAACGGGATTGCCAATATTCAATACAAATGCCATTTTGAGTTCATGTCTAAAGGTTATTAACAGTATGTGTTTGATTGGCTCCTGTAATTATTATTGTCTAGGAGATTGTGAAATTTTGATGTGTATACTCTTATATATATACTCCTTTCATCATCATCATCATGCTTTCCTATTACCCTCTGCTGGGGTGTAGGGCTCGAATCAAAATTTTCCATTTATATCGGTCTTGGGCAGTCTGTTCTAGCTCCTCCCACATCATGCCCAAGACCCCTAGCTCCTGCTCCACCGAGCGACGCCAAGTTGTTCTGGGGCGGCCTCTCTTCTTGAGTTTGCATACGAGTATTTATATATTTGAGGTAGCAGTTGTGTTGATCAAGTAATGTAATACAGTAAAAGCTCCTTATTCGCACTTCCATCATCATTATTATTATTATTATTCATTCACTCCTTTAGATAAAGAAAAATATTTCTCATGGGAATGAATAATCAGCATTTGCTTTGTTTCAAAAAATTTTTATTTAAACACAGCAGTTATTTTCTAGGGAATCCTAGATTAAGCACAACTAGGTTGTTCCCCTGACGTTGCTCATATCTTTAAGCGACAGTGGTCACTTACTATCAGATGGGTCTTATGCTTGTATACCAATTGGTAAAAAATATTAGGAAGACGCTTCATATTTGAGATGATGGTTGAGTTTTAATTTTTTGGAGCAAAAACAGAAAAAAATATTCAGTTTTAATTATTTCGTATTGAAATTAATTAATAACTTGAAGCGCTTGGTGTGTTTATCTATACTTCAATTTTAACGAATAATAACATATTTAACATGTTTTTTTTTAACGTATAAAAAAATATTTGCCTTGTATTTTATCATGCTATTTACCTCGGCTAACAATGGTGCTCTGTCCAAATGTTCCGAAGAAGCGAACGCTGATTCAAAGAACGTGTCCCGACTTCTAGACTCGTATCGGGAGCCACTTTCATCCCACATCCTTGCTTCTAGCTCGTCAGACATTCCGGCGCCGGGATGTCGCAAAAACAACAAAAAATATACACTTCACTAGACACACATATTTATCACAAAAAAATGAACAAAATCGTCTAATGTACAAACTAAACTGTCTATGTATGATCCTTTATCGTGTAGCTGAAGTATAATTTACAACGGAACTCGATAAAACAGCGATAAATATTTTACAAAATACGAGAGCGATAACCCGTCTACGCGTACGACAGTACATTTTATTTGTATTCTCTTTGGTGTGTCTAGAAAGAATCTAGATTTAGTCTTTCTAAATGTCACAATTTACAAAGTCGACGTTCGATTTAGTGTTGCCTGAAAATCACAAAAAAAAATCGTCGGAAAAGTTAACTGTACATCTTTTTAGAAATTTGATTTTGAATTTTGGTAGTTTAAATTACCAAGCTTAAGTTCTGGGTAGTTCAAATAAATTGAAAATTTAGGAAAATTCGATCAAAAATATGTTGAGAGACTAAATAAGAGAATATATAACCAAGTTTACCAAGTATACTAGATTATTTATATAAGGTCTCCCATAAACTATTAGAAAAATACTGCGAACAAATGCTAAATATTTATTGAACCTTTACCTCAGATGGTTTACTTAAATTTACTTGTCTTAGGATACATACTAACTTTCCTGTACCTAAATACCATACTAACTTAGTTCTTAGTCTGAGATTTGTCCTCGAAGTGCTTTAGTGCTTACTCAATACTTAATCTAAGCTCGAAGTACCTACTGTAATAAGTTTCTAAAGGGGTGAATTTCTTTACGGCTATTGGTTACACTACCTTTTAGCCTATGTTAGTTCTTATCTAAAAAAGTTAATTTAAAATTTTAATGTCTTCTCGGCAAGACTAGATTGACTTAGACGATGTGTAAATAATCTGTACCAATTTGTCCATGTGCCCATCTCTATGAGAAGCAATCGTATATTCCGATACAAAGATCAGAACAGCCGTTGCCCACTAAAGTTCAAATTTCCACCTCATGTCTCAAGATGACTGGCGGCATTTGTGAGGATTTAACATATTAAACAGACCTTTTTTTTTTTTTTTTTTTTCGGGTAGAGGGCCGAACCTCCTACGAGGTCCCCGCGCAAAAGGGGCGCGCGGGGTATGTGAGACTCAACGATCTGCATGGTGTTGTAAGCAGACCGCGGGCCCAAGACATTCGTGAACACATTAAACAGACCTTGCGTTTCTTCTTACATGGTAACAAAATATCACAAATACTACTAAAATTACAGATTTTGCCATCATTGTTTCGTATTTACCGAATGCCCAACTTTAAATGGAGTCAGAGGATTGTAAGTATATTTACTATTATGCAGCTATTCATTATGAAATTTCGGCCTATCAACTAATCTTATGCCAATTGATTTATCTTCTTATGTCCACGGGCTTCGCCAAGAAAAGCAATACGCGAAACTACATATTGATCTTGGGGCGACATGGCGACGGTTATAAATAATATCACAAACATAGTTTAACTTAGATTAATGCTTAATTTAGGAAATACAAATCAATGTTTGTATGTGTAGTCTCTTTTACTATATGGGTTTTTAAGCCATTCATACGATAGTGAAGATAATTGGTAAAGGTGTTGATAGCACTCTAAAGAAGATTTCTGTAGCAGTACCAGCAATGTGCGACAGGTAGCGCGCGAGTCATTTCAAGAAATAAAATTTAGTCGTACTGTTAGCGTGCCACAGCGAAGCGTAGCAGCACTTCACTGGCAGTGAATCTTCTTATTTTTCTTCTTGCCCTTATCCCATCCACTACGTGCGGTCCATGTGGCATTTTCATACCCAATCCTGCGGACCGAATGGTAAGCAGTCGACGTCGCCCCAAACTCGTTACGGATCTTCCTGATCCACTAACGGTGTTTTTAGGTAGGTACCCCAAGCACCGATCACACCGGTCACTGGTCATAAACTAACCCATAGACATAGCCCACTGAGTTTCTCGCCGGATCTTCTCCGTGGGTCGCGTTTCCGGTCGGGTGATAGATTCAGCGAAGCACTGCTCATGCTAGGGCCAGTATTTTGCAACGCCTCCTGGTTTGAACCTCGACCTCGAACGTTAGGGTTACGCTGACATAGCCTCTCAAGGAAAAAAAAGTGGCATTTCCATTCAGGCCTACCATAAGTCATCTTTGTACTAACAGCACCGTTCTCTCGCGCATCCTCATTCACACAGTCCATCAAGTATCTTTAGGACGTCGCCTCTTCACATTATACTGTCAGAACCTCTTATTTTTTTTGCTTAGATTGGTGGACGAGCTCACGGCCTACCAAGTATTTAGTGGTTATCGGAGCACATACACATCATCAAGGTAACTACCGCCATCCACTTAGCGACTTGAGTTTTAAGGACTCCATTTTTACTGCCTCACTTTTCAAATCGAAACGCATTACTGTCTCACGGTAAAAATAGGCAGGGTGGTGGTGCTTACCCATGCGGACTCACAAGACGCGCTACACCCGTTCCTTTATTAGTAAAGAAAGTCCAATATACGTCAAAAACATTACTTTATTATTATAATACATAAAAACGAAATAAGGAAAAAAAGCTTAAAATTTATATTTAATAGTAAAATGCAATAATGGAATCTATTAGGACACACAATCACGATTTAAAAGTTTCGTATTTTTCATCATAATCAACAAAATTAAAAAGAGGTGATCAGTTGCAAAGGCTGCATGCAATACGTAATAATATATGTGTTCACAAAAATCATTTCTTACGTGCTCAATTCCCTTTGCTACAATTTACATTATAATAAAAGACCTCATAAAAATTTTGTGTTTTGTGACGTCACAAGAGAAATAAACTAGACTAGGGTTGGTGTGATCAGCAGTGAAGCTTTTCAGTCACCTTTACAGGGATGTCTTGTTAGTTTAATATCTATTTAACGAATAAAAAAAAACTATTCTTTATGATATTTAAAACCTATAGCGGATATTCATTAGTGCAAGCACAGAGACGATGCAAGGCATCTGTGAGAGTTCGTTGTCCACCTCCCCTTATATTTTGACCAATCACAACACTTTCGATTTTGGCCTCGACCAATAAACACTTGGCGCGTCACGTGGTCTCGGGTTGGTCCAGCTCCAAGTAGTCTCTCACAACGAGCCCCATAAGATGGTTGTTCTAAAACAGGGGCTCCCACACTTATTTTGTCTACTACCCACTTTGAGATTAATTATTTTTTAGCGCCCCCGTTTCTTCCCATACTCAAGGACAAGAGAACAAGAGCGCAGTCGGTGTCTAAGAATCCTCCTAGATGAAATTACAAATCGCCTCCCAAACTTCTACACAACGCCCTCATATTTTTCTGGGTTTCTGCAGCGCACACAAGGGAGCGTTATCGCCCACTTTGGAAAAAGGCTGTTCTAAAATGAATATTCATTGAGTTTGTTTTCGCAAAACCAAATAGCCGTGGGAGCTTCCGCTATTGTGTATTATACTGTGACGTCACAAGTCACTAAGACAAGTAGATCACCTTTAATTCAAAACAAAACAAATGTAGGTAAATTAGAATCAATTTATAATCTTTCTGGATGAATATTACTAAATTATACATATATAATAACTTAATGATATTTTGTAAATTTTATGTGATGTACATAATATGGGTAAGCCCAGTTTCTTTTCGATTCCTCTCAGTGGTGAAATTACATTTGAATATGCAATTTCGAAAAGGGCACATGTCGCATATTTTGTCAAATACGTTTTTTCATATACATGTAGTTTTGAGGCTTACCTACACCCATTTTATAATGATTCCAGTAATTTTCAATTGCTAATTAACACCCAAATATATCTTTAAAGTTAATATTTTAAATTTTACACTGCTTTAGAAAATAATCCGTTTTTTTTCATTTCCTGAACATTTTACATTTTCAGAGATGTGCCCTTTTCGAAAGTGCATGTTCATTTGAAACCGGTGTTAAAGTCGAGACGATTAAAAGAGCATTTCTTAATATTATTTTAATTAAAAAAAAAAATGATGTAGATCAATCTAATAATAAATAAATAAATAAAAAAAAATAAAAATCACAAAATTACTGTCATGTACGCGATTAACTTCATATTTCCTTAGCGGTTTAAAAGTATTCATTCGGTTCATTTCTAATGTATAGAGGAAACATTAGTTCATTTTAACGCGCAATACATAGTGCACAAAACTTTGGGATCGAACCCCGGTGTCACTCGCACGTGCCTATTATGGGCGCCATTAAAGAAATAGGAACAAAACTATATCGCCCGATAATAATTAAAGTACATTACTGCCTTTGTAACTAATCGATTAAAACAACAAACATTAACGTTCAAAAATGAAGTTCTTAAAATTAAAAAAAAAAAAACACTTGTCTTTAAGCAAAGACATTTTTGGAAACAATATTCACACACAGATATACAAAACACAAATATTTTCTAACGCCGTCTCGAGTTATCATAAGCCATCGTTCTCAGCTCGCTCTAAGCGTTATCTACATTGATACTTTTAATGGACTTCAAAAGGTTTATTGATTTAAAAGGCTGAGTGATTCTCAAACTTTTTCTGTCGCCGAACAATTTTCGAATTTGAGGGCCAATGCAAAAAAAAAAGATTAGTTCTAAAGCTGTTTACTTTCATGTGTGGAATTGTAAGATAGGAAAATTTGAAAAAAGAATTTAGTGACACACATAAAAAAAAGATCCGAGTTTGAGAATAATCGGCTATAAGGGAACAACAGATTGCAATGAACTGTATCATGTCCCCCTTATTTATCGCCCTCGATGGCAGAAGTGCGGTTCAACGGAGCCTTCACAGGTTGTTTGAAGATTAACGTGTTAAGGCGCTATTTTGTTCCCTACCTATGCTGATAGCCTTGAGAGGCTATCACCTCACCTCAGGCTTCAGCTTCACCCTAGCGTTTAGGTGAGCTCTCGGGGCTCAAACCGGAAGTGTTGCTAGCACTGGCCCTAGCCAAGAGCAGTGCTTCGTAGAATCTACTACCGGATCGGAAACGCGACCCACTGAGAAGATCCGGCGAAGAACTCAGTAGGCTGTGTCTGTGGATTAATTTACCTGCCGAGCCCTTCGTCGCAAGCGACGGGTTCGGCCAGGACGGTGACCGGTGCTTGAGGCACTTAATAGCACCGTTAATGGATCGAGAGCATCCGTAATGACGTGGATAAAGGTCAAAATATTTCGTGTTAACTTACTAACATGTGACTGTACTGTGTCATGTTCAACACCAATCACTGATCAGCTGACGTCACAAATTCGTGATGTAACGTACATTGTCTTTGGTATTGCAAAACTACATCTCTTAAACAGGAAATGTCTTATCTTTCCCTCCTCCACTAATGGAACGTAACTAATCAAAGTAACAGAAGATTGTATAGCTTGTTCATTGCTTAGAATGTACTGTTACGCCGGTAAGAGTCACGCCATCTATTGCCAAATAGCCGAACGAATATCGAAGGATCTAGTAGCATCTAGAACACTCGAGAAGTACAACGCCATCTATTGTCAGATAACGGAACACACAATACTCGACTTGTGTGGAATATTCTCGACGATTCTAGGGATTTCGTATCGACTATAAAAGCGTTGCAGAGATGGCACGCAGTCAGTAACCGGAACTACTCGAAGCGAAACAGGCAACGGATCACCTGAAGCGAAGTGGATGAAGCGAATTGAGAATTTTAAAGTGTTGAATACATTGTTAATTTGTAATTCTGTAGATTTTTTTTATTTATCCCGAACCCCAGCCCGTAACAGTGCCAAGACCACTGTCATATCTTCCGTATGAAGCCTCCGTGAAGCTAATACATGCAGAAAACATTGCCTTAACCCTTCAAACTGAAGCGCACTATGGCTTCAGGGCAAGATACATTCGAAGCGGTAGTTCAACCCGTGCCGATTCGCATATAATCGCGCTGTCATATATCAATGTAGATACGCTTTTATTATTTAATATTTCATCCTATTTTCAAATTAATAAAACCACAGCCATATTTAAATTAAAAATGAATACTTGAATTGTTTTTATTTTAAATAAACTTGATTCCGTAATTTGTTTACGTGTAGATTTGCCATTTCGAAATACAAATATTCGAACTGAATATAGTTTACGGGTTGACATACAGAAGTTCAAAATTGCTTTAAAAATTAATTTTACTGCATTGATTTTTCGAACATAAAAGCAGAATGTCGATCTTGCCATAATAATAATGATTGTCGCCTGTAATTCTGTAATGTAAACTTTTTTATATATTTTCATCTAGACATTACATGCTCTTAAAGATTGTTCACACTATGCAATCATTTTCTTTCCTGGTATCATATCGAGGGTTGAAGGGGCATTTCGCTTAACACGCGACATTTATGTTTGTAATTAAATGTCCGTTTTATTTGGTATTAGCATCAATAATTCGATTTTTCTAATTGAACTTCAATTAAGTTTACCCCATTCAAGTAACTGAGGAAGTATAGTTATGATATTTTTCCAAATTTTAAACTTGAAATGGCTCTCCTGTAAAGTTTCAAAAGTGCTGCTTAAACTAAATAACCTTTCACGCCTCGATAACAAAGGCTTAGTACCAATCAAGTTTATTCAAAATCAACTGTCATATTTGACAACGCCATTATAGGCTGATGTTGCCAGTATATTAAATAAAAAAATCGATTAATTTCGTTGAAAAGAGATGTCGCACTCTTAACGTTACGAACAATAAACACGATAATTTAATTTCTATGTATTTATTCGTTTAAGCAGATTAACCAATTAATAAGGTTAGTTAAAATTAGCAGAGTCAATTGAATATGGACGTAACAACAGCAATATCCGTCGTGACCAAAATTTTTCTGTTTTTAATACGACTTATCCTATTAAGTACATACTGCGTTAACGTAAATTTTAAACTTCAGAATAAATAATGCAATTAACATGTTGTTTGTTCGTAACAATTTAATAATATGATATATTATTCAGAATTGATAAAAATCTTTAATTTTAACGCACTATTACTTAGCAAAACAAGAAAGAAATTGTTCTAATTTTTTTGAACTCTCAACTTGGTAGAATATTCCTTTAATTTATGGCAACATTGATCTTTGAAAATCATAGCTCGCATCTCCCGTTTTGCATATGTGTGGATTACGTATACAGATACGATAGTAAAATCAAATATTAGTCATACGGGAAATATAATTATAAAGTAACTGAATTCTTGCGTTGACTTGTAAATGTTTTTTTTATTGCTTGGACGGGTGGACGAGCTTGCATCCCACCTGGTGTTAAGTGGTTAACTGTAGCCCATAGACATCTACAACGTAAATGCGCCACCCACCTTGAGATATAAGTTCTAAGGTCTCACCCAACACCTCAACCTACCCGTGCGGACTCACAAGAGGTCCTACCATAAATGTTATAAACACAGCTGTTACTGCCCATGCTGCACTTAGATACTGCAGCAAGAACGTCGATTATTGTATAGTTTTTACCCTATTATTTATTATTTTGTTCTTATTAAAAATCATACTAGTATAGTTGATGAATATAAGAAATTTTCAGAAACTAGCACTATATTACTATCTCTTTCTATCGTTTACTTAAGTAGGGGAGTGCGAGCGAGACGGCAATACGTTTACATGCCATATCCCATTTACTCAGTGTAACGTATCTATCTTCTTGTCAACATTTATTATTATTAAAGGTGATTTAGAAGAATTTTATATCCTATAACTCAAACCGTAATGTTTCGTTATCAAAATAAATAAATAATCGATTCGCAAGATTAAAATGTTTTACGTTTAAAATTACCTAAGCCACGTCACATGTTACGTTCGGTGTGCTTTATAGTGAGAGCTTTTTAACATTCTCGATAGCGTAAAAGTTAAAAGTAAACGAGGCTTGTGGAGAGTATTAAACGGTAGGCAGCGGCCTGGCTCTGCCCCCGGCATTGCTGAAGTCCATGAGCGACGGTAACCACTCACCATCAGGTGGGCCGTATGAACGTCTGCCTACAAGGGCAATAAAAAAAAAAAAAAAAAAAATAACTCTGATTTGCATGGAATTTTTTTTAATGCTTTGATGGATGTACGAGCTCACAGCCCATCTGGTGTTAAGTGGATACTGGAGCCCATAGACATCTACAAGGTAAATGCGCCATCCACCTTGAGATATGTTCTAAGATCTCAGTATAATTACAATGGCTGCCCCACCCTTCAAACCCAAACGCATTACTGCTTCACGGCTGAAATAGGCGGGGTGGTGGTACCTACCCGTGCGGACTCACAAGAGGTCCTACCGCCGTTAATTACGCAAATTATAATTTTGCGGGTTTGATTTTTATTACACGATGTTATTCCTTCACCGTGGAAGTCAATCGTGAACATTTGTTGAGTGCGTATTTCATTAGCAAAATTGGTACACGAGGAATTGGAACGATTGCTTAAGTTTGCCGCTAGGGGCGCTGTTCCAACTCCATACAAAGTTGAGTTAACTTTTACGCTATCGACAACGTTAAAAAACTCGCACTAAGTGAACGAAGAACTAGCGAGCCGTACGGGGACGGGCGAGGAGCTGCGATAGATCACCTGTCCCCCTCGGTCCCGGGGAGCGCGCGGCGGGTGCGAGCGAGATGGCTACACGACGACTACGAGCGGCAGGTCATCGATCATAAAGACTGCTGGGCGGCGAGGGCGCGCGCCGACGCCAGGCCCCCGGCGTCCAGGCTGGGCCAGTCCACGAACTCCGCGCCGTGCCTGACAGACACGAAAATATTGTAATGGGTGTTAGGAGACCTCTTCCGAAAACAGACGATAATAATAATAATAATTTTTGCTGTAGGCAGCGGCTTGGCTCTGCTCCTGGCATTGCTGAAGTCCATGGGCGACAGTAACCACTTACCATTAGGTGGGCCGTACGCTCGTCTGCCTACAAAGGCAATAAAAAAATATTTCTCTCTTAAAGGTATAGTACAAATGCAAATGGAAATTAACCTTATAATTTATTTTGTAAGCCTTTGAAAGACCTGAAGTCTGCACTAGGTTCGAATTTCGGTCGAATGTCAATAGAGATACCTGACGATGTAGGAGAGCGTCGCTCCAGCAGCCGCCCCCCAGAACATGAGGTAGAGCAGCACTTCGCTGGAGTAGCGCGCCGGCAGCACCGCTTGGGCGCAGAACATTGACATGGCAACCAACAGCACGGAAGGGAGCTGTCGCAACAACATTATAATCATTTAATGACAGTAATTTTTCTAATGAAATACGTACTCAACAAATTGTTCACGATTGGCTTCCAGGGTAAAGGAATAACATCGTGTAATAAAAATCAAACCTGCAAAATTATAATTTGCGTAATCACTGGTGGTAGGACCTCTTGGGAGTCCGCACGGATAGGTACCACCACCCCGCCTATTTCCGCCGTGAAACAGCAATGCGTTTCGGTTTGAAGGGTGGGGTAGCCGTTGTAACTATACTTGAAACCTTAGAACTTATATTTCAAGGTGGGTGGCGCATTTACGTTGCAGATGTTTATGGGCTCCAGTAACCACTTAACACCAGTCGGGCTGTGAGCTCGTCCACACATCTAAGCAATAAAAAAAAAGGTATATAATCATTGTTCATCATCCTCGAACTACCATTATTGTTACCAAGAAAAATCATTTTCTTAGTATTTGGAATAAAATGACGGTACTTTTATAATGAAATTGTTTTTTTCATACATTTATAGATTAAAACACTTAATTAATTGATAAGCCCTATTAGGGAAAGACAAGAGAGAGGTTAAGTAAAGAGCGAGATAGCTACATTTTAAAATCAAAGATGTCGAATGCGTTTAGGAATTGGTTTGATATTTCACAGAATTAAAAGTGGCGGTAGTTAGAAATAACGAAACGAGATATTTACCGTGATATATTTCCAGTCGTGTCCTCTCCTCAGAGGGCTCGGGGCGGCCAGACCCTCGCCCTCAGCGACCACGTACTTACCCAAGAACAGATCTATTGAGTCCTGGGAATTAAACAACCAAACTTTATAGGATAAGTATATTATATTTATAGGGTAGTACGTACTATTTCTTTCTTATTATTTTTCAATGAACTATATCTAATAATGTATCGTATATAAATATTTAAGCCTCCGGAACCATTTTAATATAAATTTTATTGTTATTACCCTAAGTAAAACCGCTGAAAATTTGTGTTGGAATTGGAAAGCATCCCGATTCCCCACAATCTACTGTACAAATTGTAACAGTATTCCATAAATTGTAATATATTTCTGCCTATTTTAGCCGTGAAGCAGCAATGCGTTTCGGTTTGAAGGGTGGCGCAGCCGTTGTAACTATACTTGAGACCTTAGAACTCATATCTCAAGTTGGGTGGTGCATTTACGTCGCAGATGTCTACAGGCTAAAGTAACCACTTAACACCACACCTGTGAGCTCGTCTACTCATATGAGCAATAAAAAAAATTTATTTAGGAATTTTGAAAACCGCGCAATGGAAACCAAATAAGATGGTGTTTGATATACTGTCGACAATACGTTCCCTCGCCGTTTACATCAGGTTCGGGAACAGTTTGGGACTCTCAATGGCGTCTCAGGAGACGCTCTGGGCGAGCTATTGGCGGCACCTGTCTGAAGCCGTCGCTGAAGTTGTTCTTGTAGTATCGCGTGAGGGAGTTGATGCCGTCGCGCAACAGACCGACGTGCGTGCGCTTGCCGGTGCGCGTGTAGTCCGTCTTCAGAGCGCCCGTCCCGGAGTACTGCGTGGAGATGGCGTCCGCGTGGTCCGCCCACACCTGACCATCGAACACTCATGCTTACATCATACTCTAGTTCAGCGGTCGGGGAACCGGGGTAAATTACCCCAAATTGGGTAAAATGAAATTTTGGGGGGTAAAAATGAAACTTTTGTGATTAAAAAATATATATTGAAGTGAAACTTCTTTAGAAACGTTAAATTTTTAATTATTGTATTCTTTTCAAAATTATCATGGGGCTATAATATGAAAGATACTAAAAAGAAGCGATTTCGTTTTTTTCTGTTCTTCGCCATGGGGTAATATGAACTTACACAAAAAATTTTTGGGGTAATAATTAAAAAAGTTCCCCGACCGCTGCTCTAGTTATTGCTCTTAAATATAAACCATTTGCGTAATTTATATTGGCAAAAAAAAACCTGTGCAATTCACACGTGGTAGAAGTGAAACCTTCAAATTTTAAAATACAATCATCCTAAATGTCTAAGTATATGTAAAATTTTATCATTAGTAAATAATTGTAAATAATCTTTTATAGTATGAGGTAGCGCCCTCTGTGAATTGATATTTTAACTTCACGTATACATAATCCTAATCTAAAATTCACTACAAGAGGTTTCATACACACGTTAATATTAAAAAATGTCATAGATGGCGATGTATTAAAAAAAAAAACACTACGGACTTATTTTTTCGTTTCATCGAGTTTGAAATCACAACGATTCTAAAGAAATTTCACTTAAAAAAAAAAGCAGAGGGCAGCTCATTCCCGAGTAGTGGGGTGCGACGACCCCAGATAGTAAGTAATTAATATTGTCAAAGCGTACAGAGTTGTCTTAGATACGTATTTACCCTATTTCTGCCGCGAAACATTCATACATTGCGGCTTTTTAGATCGTCTAGTTTTTTGGTGTTGTATTTCTGAATTCGGAAAAATACGTCATCTCGGATCCTCCCAGTCCACTAACGGTGCTTTTAGGTACCCCAAGCACCGGCCACCGTTCTCGTCGAACCCGTCGCTGGCGACGAAGGGCTCGGCGAGTAAATTAACCCACAGACACAGCCCACTGAGTTACTCGTCGGATCTTCTCAGTGGGTCGCGTTTCCGATCCGGTGGTAGATTCTGCGAAGCACTGCTTTTGCTAGGGTTCGTGTTAGCAACGTCACCAGGTTTGAGCCCCGTGAACTCACCTACTCGCCCGGTGACGTTGATATGGTCTCTCAAGACCAGCAGCTTAGGTAGGAAAAAAAAACAAAGAAAGAAAAAACGGAATTCGGATACATTGCGTTTGTTTTATAAAATTGCAATCTGCGCAGTTACTGGTAGGAAGTTTTAGGAGGGCGCACGGGTAGGGTTCACCATCTATTTTTCAGCTAAGCTATAATACGTTCTGTTACGATGGTTGGGACAATCATAATGATGTCTATGGACTCATGTAGCCACGCAAGACCTCTCGCCCGACAAAATTCTGTATGTACTATAGCAATAAAGCCAGACACAAAACACTCACGTTATTGAACAGATGTTCGAAGTTGGTCTCCAGTTGGTCGGAGCTGGAGACGTTGAGGAGCTTGAAGAGCGCCGTCAGATGCAGCTTGGCGAGCAGGCTCTGCACCACGTTGGTCCGGTCCAGGCAGTCCACGCAGTTGGTGCGGAACACGCCACTCTGCCGCAGCAGCACGGAGCCGCCCCGACTCAGGAAGTAGCCGAATTCCGTCTGTTTCACATTGTTACGCCGGTAAGTGTAACGCCATCTATCTCCGAAGGATCTAGTACCACCCAGAATGCTCGAGAATTACAACGCCATCTGTTGTCAGATAGCGGAAACTACTACTAGTACTAGTAATATCTTCCCTTGGCGGGATTCGAACCCGCGACCCCCTTGTGTAGTGACCATGTCACTTACCACTACAGCACACGACCGTTACAAGGGGGCGTTATCGCCCACTTTGGGAAAGGCTGATATACATAGTGGGTAGGTGCGCGACCTGCTCGTGCGCGATCCTGTCGGTGAGCACGGCGAGGCGGTGGTAGCGCATGGCGCGGCACTCCGCGTGGAAGTCGAAGGGCTCGTAGCGCACGCCGGGCAGCGCCGCCGCCGCCGCCGCCGCGCGGTACCCACGCTCCAGCGCCTCCTCGCGCCCGCGCTGGTCGATCTGCACAAGACAACACTCACGCGATTCTCAATCTTAAAGTGATGGTCGTTAGGGTCGAATTTTGGTTAGTGTTTTTTTTATTGCTTAGATGGGTGGACGAGCTCACAGCCCACCTGGTGTTAAGTGGTTACTGGAGCCCATAGACATCTACAACGTAAATGCGCCACACACCTTGAGATATAAGTTATAAGGTCTCAAGGTGGGTGGCGTGGTCTCTCTCTACAAGTTAGGTTTTTTCCAAATGTAAAGTATGAGGAAGGTGAAGGGAGAACATTTTGTATTTTTTTTGTGCAGAACACTCACGCGATTCTCAATCTTAAATCGGTGGTCGTTAAAGTCGAATTTTGGTTATTGTAACTAATGTACTTCATCTGTTCTACAACAAACAAGACTAAGATTTCGACGTCATTTCTGAACGTCGGTCCGGACTGTCATCGTATACCCAAATTCCAATAACAGTTACTGGTGGTAGGACGTCGTGTTAGTCCGCGCGGGTAGATACCACCACCCCGTCTATTACAGCTGTGAAGCAGTAATGCGTTTCGGTTTGAAGGGCGGGGCAGTCGTTGTACTGTTAAAACTGAGAACTTAGAATTCTTGTTTCGAGGTTAGTGGCGGAATTTACGTTGTAGATATCTATAAGCTCCGGTAACCACTTGATACCAGGTTGGTCGTGATCTCATGCATACATCTAAGCAATAAAAAAAAAAACAAAAAGAAAAACCAGTCACAAAGTTAAAAAAATACTCACCAAGTTAACCAGCACCTGGTTCCCGTACCGCTGTATCTGGTCGCGGAGGTGCTTGGTGTAGGCCGCGACGTGGTCCTCGTGGGCCAGCGTCATCGGCGGCTTGTACCGAATGTCCGGGTACTGGCTCCAGAACAGCGGGATCGAGCCCCGGGTCTGCACGTACGAAGACTTCTCGCCGCCGCGCTCCACTATCTGTTCGGTTTCTACGAAATTAGCCACGTTGCCCTGCGGACCGCAAGGACTTACCATCAATTTTCATCGTCACTGAAACTTTAATGGCTCTTTTTTTCCTACCTAAGCTGAGAGCTTTGGGAGGTTATATCAGCGTAGCCTTAACTAGTAGGTGAGCTTACGGGGCTCGAACCTGGCGACGTTGCTAGCACGAACCCTAGCAAGAGCCCTACTTCGCAGAATCTACCCCCGGATCGGAAACGCGACCCACTGAGAAGATCCGGCGAGAAACTCAGTGGGCTGTGTCTAAGAGTTAAGTCATGACATAAACGATGACAACGCCCGGTGTGTACCCTTCTCGGGCGATGCAACTGTGCCAGTTTAAATCCAGTTGTGGCGGGTAGCCATCATACAACGCAAGATATTTGACAGATGCCTGAATCTCGCTTACGACATTTCCAAAAGTTCCGAACAACATTCAGACCGTCGGTCTACCGAGCAATATCATTCGCTCGATGGACGATCTTTCCTTTGCCGTATACCTCCAAACAGTATTTTTTTTTTATTAATTATTAACTATTTTTACTATACGCAATGGAACACAAACAGAATAAAGTTTCCTTGCGGGGTCGATGCCCTAGTGTTACAATAAAAATCTTTTCACAAATGTCATTCTTCCTATCCTTCTTAAGTGTCAATATATTGTTACCTACGCCGGTAAGAGTAACGCCATCTATCATCAAATAGCAGAAACTAATATCAAAAGAACTAGTTATATCGAGAGCTCTCGAGAAGTGTAACGCCATCTATTATCGAATAGCGGAAACATATATCGAAACCACTAGTCCTAACGGGAATATTCTCGATAATTTACACTTGTCGTGTCGACTACAAAAGCGTTGCAGAAATGACACGATGGCAGTTAGTCATCGGTTCTAATCGAAGCGAAACAGCGAACGGATCGCCAGAAGCGAAGCGGAAAAAGTGAATTGCTATTTGTAAAGTGTTTAATAGAGTTTTACTGCCTACTTCTGCCCTGAAACAGTAATGCATTTCGGTTTGAAGGGCCGGGCAGCCGTAGTTATAAGTGAGACCTTAGAACTCATGTCTCAAGGTGGGTGGCGGCATTTACGTTATACATGTCTATGGGCTCCGTAACCACTCAACACAAGGTGGGCCGTGCACTCGTTCACCCTAAAAGAAAAAAGAAAGATAGGTATATACCTGCGCGTCGACGCCCCTCATGAAGAGTCTGGTGCCGGCTCTATCCGCGCAGCGTCGCGACACCAGCGCCCAGGTCATGTCGTGCCCGTTTATATTCACATAGTTTATCGACACAACTGCACCGAGTAAGTTAAGGATGTTTATCAAATGCTTAAGACATTTAAAGATGTAACGGGTAAATGTCATGGTAACGTGGCTCCACAAAACTACCACCATATCGTCTTCTCGCATTAAAATTGTATAGTCTCAAAACTTACTAACTTTACAGGAGAGTGTTTTAAAGGTTACTAACATGTAATATTTTTAATATTAATCATCCTTGCAACATTAATTTTTTATTTTTTACCAGTTACATTATCTGTCTTTTAAAGTAAGATAAAATTATGTAGTGTATTAATTTTGTTACATAAGAGTAGTCAAAAAATTAAAAAAAAAAAAAAAAAAAAAAAAAAACTATACTACGCTCTTTTGACAGTATTTATGAGAAAAATACTGGTGATACCAAATGATTCCGCATATTAACTCAATTTCGAATATTTTTGGAAATTGTGCACTTTTAATGCGAAAAGACGATATGTACCACCAAGTAGTAATGCTTTCCAATTTGAAGAGTAAGACCAGTCGTTATACAATATAATAATCCGACGAAGCATGTTGCGGATAATAACATGTACTTTTAGGTTAGGAATATAGTGTTCTTTTTTTTTATAATAAATATAATAATGACTTCGAACTCATGTCTCAAAGGAGATGACAGCATTCATGTTGTGAACTACACATGCTGCACATTATTTTTATCAATCAAATTATAAAAATATGGCTTGTTTGTTTACAACTATAGATAGATAAGTGGCAATATAAATTAGGTTACTTATTGATACACAATTGCCACAGTACACCCACAAGTTATCTAATGGATACGGTTTATTGAATGTATATCATAGAATCTTAAATTGATTTTCACAGAAAATTGGGTATTTCTTATTGCAACTACTCATGAATAATTTGACATGTTAACTCTTACATACATATATTTAATTGTAGTAGTTGGTAAGAGAGTGTTAACTATGAATATGGAAGGATATACAGGAAGAGGTAGACCTAAGAAGAAATGGATTCGATAAGACATGCTTATGGTGACGGTTTTGCTTTGTTCGATCGCCTGGGTAGGAGGTAGAGACGGCCACCGTAACATCATAATCGGTTACTCTTGGCAGAGTATTCGTGGTCATGTGATCTTGTTTATTATAAAGGAAGAGGTACCTAATAAAAAATGGATGGATTGCGTGAAAGACGATATGTGTAAAAGGGGAGTGAGCGAAGAAATGGTATATGACAGAGGAGTATGGAAGGAGAAAACATGTTGCACCGACCCCAGGTGACTGGGAGGAGGGCAGGAGAATGTTGATTTAATTGTAGTCACCAAGAATGTGCTTGGATGCATGGGCTAATCTCCTGTCATTTTCACAATCAAGAAAAACGGCAATACTTTTTTAAAGGATACATCCTTGAATAATGGGCAGAGCGAATCTTGAAAACTGGTCGTGGGAGTAATCCCTTAGAAGATGTCTGTTCCACAGGAACCTCGTGTCCGCACGGTTCGCTAGCGACATCTATTTACACACGAAATAGTTGATGAGTTGTTTTATCGACGACTTACATCAAAATACTGGTGGTAGGACCTCTTGTATTACTGGTGGTAGGACCTCTTGTATTACTGGTGGTAGGACCTCTTGTGAGTCCGCGCGGGTAGGTACCACCGCCCTGCCTATTTCTGCCGTGAAGCAGTAATTCGTTTCGGTTTGAAGGGTAGGGGCAGCCGTTGTAACTATACTTGAGACCTTACAACTTATATCTCAAGGTGGGTGGCGCATTTACGTCGCAGATGTCTATGGGCTCCAGTAACCACTTAACACCGGGTGGGCTGTGAGCTCGTTCACACATATGGCAATAAAAAAAATTATAAAAAAAATTCATCAATCTAAAAAATATATCAAACTGATAAAAAATTACACACATACTTTTTTTTTAGATTATATTTAAGCAGTCGCGATAAAGCGTACTCTCTTTACTTTATACAAAATATAATCGAGAAATAGTTTATTACATGCGTAGCTGTGTCTATGAGTGAAAAGGGTTAAATTCTCCAAACTAACTAATGAGCTCACACACATTATGTCATTCTTTAGTAGTGATGATTTAATTTAATAAAATTAAATTATGTAAACAAAAACAGAATTGGGAGTTTGATAATTCAAGACATGAGTGGATAAAGGGGTTAAGTACCATTTTTAAGATTTTTGTTTTTACATAGAATGAAGGTGTTATGTCCCTATAAACCATATTAGACCTTAAAACTCTAGATTTAAAAGCTATTTTTAGAAATTGCATGTGATGAAGGAGTCATGTATGAAGAAAAAGTACAAGTAAAAAAAAGTTTGTTGCCCCTTTTCTGAAAATTAACAAATTGTATCATGTCCCCTTCATTCACTCATGTCTTCAATTACTTAAAAAAAAAAAATTAATTTGGAAGTCATTTGAAGAAGATTCACAAAATACCTTATGGAAATCAGGTGTTACAGCATGCAGTCTCTGCAATGTGTGTGTTAGGTCATAGCTGTAAGAGAAGTAAATTCCCGGTGTTTCTAGTGCAGCCCGGATCATGCGCTCGTACGTGTTGTTGTCAGCAATCTGTTAGGAAATTATATGTAATTACCAAAAAGTAGTTAATGAAATATGTCCACACGGTAACAGAACTTTAATGTTAATTTAAATTTAATTACTGCTTTCAATATTCTTAAAATGTTCAGAAATCGTACAGAAAATGAGTCTGCAGGTGATTTCTGTAGAATAAGTTTACCATATGTATGTAGGAACGGAACGGAGTGATATGGATGAATAACAGATATGGAGCATGACTAAGTGAGAGAGATAGGAGATGTCGTGTTAGGAAGTAAGAAAGAAGGCGAAGATTAATGCGGAACATTTAGTTTTATTGCATAAGCAAGAAGGAGCAGTTTCCGGATGCGACGACGCTCAGACGCAGTGTAACCCAGAAGACAAAAGACATTGAATTGGAGTTACTTAAGACGAAATAAAGCATCAAGTTTTATGTGAAGTGATCGAACATTTGACAGGCCCACCCCAAATTTAAAATCCCACATGTATATAATGAAAAAAAAACTCCACTAATTGGTGGATGAAGAACTTCTATAACCTACCTGCTGAGTAGTAAGATGTGAAGTCGATCTGGTATACGGTATAATGTCTGTGCCGGCAAGCTGGTATATTTCATGCCCATTAATTTTTCCAACCTGAGCATTCAATATTAAAATGATTATTATATAAGTTTCAAGTCAAAGATAGCATACCCCAATCCAGTGGTCGGCAACACGTGGCTCGTGAGCCGTATGCTTTTTGACTTCTTTGCTACGGCTCTTCCACAAAATGTTTGATTCAGGTACACCATTTTACTTATTATCTTGCCATAGTAAGAGACGATTATATATTTTCTAAACTCAAGGCTATAAAAATTATTGTTAAATAAATGTTCTCTTGGCTCTTTAAATAAATTTCAATGTTGACAAGGTTGCTGGCCACTGCCCCAAATCCGTTCTGACATTTTAAAATAAACCACCAAAGGTTTTGTGGTCTCACGATGATAAAAGAGAATTTTTACTTAGAATAACACCACCACTTCTCTTCTGATGGATATCATGGCAGAGTGGCTAAGGAATTTGGTGAAGTCTTCGATCAACAATTGTTGATCAAAGGGTGAAGTAAAGAGATTGGACACTTTCACAACATTTTAGTAGGCTATATAACTAAGTGTAATCTCTCTGTTAATTCTAACAAACTTAGTAAATTATTTTGTTGTATGATTGAAAATTTAAATTCAAAATATAGAATTCTCACCAGTATCCTGTACTTAGCGACAACCAAATACAATCCGGAAATAAGTTTTATGGAGCCTAAGAACCCACATACTGGTTTGTAGGCATTTGCCGGTATTGGGATCCTTACTGAATTTATATCTGAAATAAAATTAATTTGGAAATTTTACATCACAGACATTTTCTAGTAATAATAATAATTACAATTAACAATACTTAAATACTAAATTATTCAATGTGTAGTTGCTTATCTTGATCATAATGAATGTTTTTCTAATTGTTTCAAATTTCAACAATTTGAGGTATACCTCATTGCAAAATCAAAGGACATTATTGCAATCAGAAAGCATGCACACTACAAATTTACAGCTAGATTTTTCAGATTTACTCCAAGGTAATTGACAGTTCATGATCATGGTAGCTATATGCAATGATAAACAAATTTTTTTTATTTATTTTGTTTGAAATCTTATAATTGGGTTTCAGTCGCTCTGTAATGGTCATAATCAGTAATGAATGTCAGTAATGCCAAGGACACATCAAACACGCCTGTTACCTATTAATACCCACCATTTAAATTCTTGACTAACCTTTAACACTGGCTTCTCCTGTGACTCTGTCTACGACCATAATCTCTGTAGGGTTGATTGTCGGCTCAAAATAAAATTTATCAGATGTCGTATATCTAAAACATACATAATCCACTATATTATTTTAGTATTACATGATTTTGTACAATATTTCTTTATTTACTGAACTTGAATAGGAGCTGTAATACTAATGAAACGATTAAAATATTTTTTACAAATTACTAAGAATAATAGAATAAATATGAATTTGTTGTCAAATGACATCATGTCACTTTTTAATCTACTATCGCATTAATATCATGATACGTAAGAAATTAGTTTTTTTAATGGATTAGAATTCACTATTATAGCGATTTTTTAAGCTACAGCTATTAAACTTTAGAATGAATAAAATTTCCGTGATAGCTTGAATAAAAATGATATCTTTAAGGCTTCTTCACAAACTTATAAGCAAGATGTGAATTAGCAAAATTAACTTTGTGTTGTTAGAAGATTTTAAAATTTGGACATAAAATAGGCATACTTACAGTTTAATATCATCGTGAATTAGCAATTGGTCTGCCATTTTAACGAATCATTAAATCCTACAATTGTTTAAATCTTGTAAATCACAAGTTAGAAATCTAAATTATCTAAACTTGTAAACCTGTGATCTAGACGGTGCATTAGTTGGCATTTGGCAAGAACCAACTGTCTCAAAACTCATTTGTCATTTAAACAGGCGAAGGGATTTTGTCCCATATAAAAAAAAAGTTTTTTTAATTCAAGTCTAAATTCCAGTCTTCCATCCAAAAACTGAATATAAATTTGAAAAATATTTATTAAAAAAGGCCATGTGCTTATGTTTTAGCTCAGCACATACGAACTTTTACACATTCTAAAGTATAAAGTTTTAAATTTCTAAATGAACTTCCAGGTGTAAACTTAAAATAATGGTGGCTTAATAATTTTTAATTAACAGACAGACTTAATTTAATTTACCCTTTTCTCAGGCCTTTTAATTGAGTCTCCCGCTGTAAATGATATTTTATATTATTAAAAGAAGATTGTTTTAGGTAAAATTTTCACATTGTATTTATTGTTTTTGTTATTGTCACCTCAAGCTTCTTCCAAATTATGCAGCTTAGGCCATACAATGGTACTAATGGTAGTGAATTTTGCAGCCGTCACAACAGCTTAATAAAGAATTCATCCATTTTACCGGCAAAATTCTATAGTAGAAAACTAAAAGCGGCTAAAAGGTCGAGCTACTACTGGCATAAACGAATTAATGAAAATATTCAAACATGTGTGTTTGAAAGGTATATAACCCCAAAATGTTTTGTATAAAAACTATGTGCCTAAAAAGTATCTTCAACTAGATATTTGTGGAGTTTGTGGGAAATAATTTGCGCAGATTGTATTAAACAACAATGAAATTTGTAGAAGGGCACCCTGATTTAATCAAAACAATTCACGATGGAGAAGAAGTGGAGAATTTCTCTGAAGAATCTGATGAAGAAGTAGAGGTATCGTAATTCTGTTAATTATTTTATTAGTAATGGTTCTGTAATCGTAAAGTGAAATTCTGTAAAAATAACTTTCGGTGACATAGCAAACACTTACTAAATAACCTTGTAGTCCATAAGTTATTGAATCATACATAAACATTGAAATTATTACAGAATCATCTGCAACATGTTAATTATTTATTATTTATACATAATGATTGCCCGCTGTATCGCCGATTTTAGTAATTGTGACAGTAATTTTTTTATTCATAACTTGTAACTATGTTAGCCTTGATAATATACTTTTTATTTTACACAAATAAGAATCATTATAAAAAGAAAATTGTACTAAGGTGCTGTTTATATCAAAATTAAATCTCATTCAGAAGCTGGCTGGAAATTTACAGAACAACCACAATTTATTATAGCTCTGTAAATCTCTCTGTTCCATATCTGAAATCTCCCTTTTATATATTTCCAGCTTGATTATTTTTAATATTTTTAATATATTACCAAACATTCACATGAAACATGCTTCATATATAATATTTTTGGGCAGAATATGTCTTTCAAATGAAATATCTCACATTTTTGTAATAAAACTATAGTTGTTCTGTTACACAATAACAATAAAAAAATACAATTATTATTCAAAAAATACATAAGTACATATAGTTGCATGTATGATTGTTTTAGTTAAGAGTTTTACATTTATATACTTGTATGAATATTTTTTTAATAAATGTGGTTATCATTTCAGTACCAGCCATCAAAACAAAAGACAAAAAAGAAAGCTGATTTCAATCCAAAGTTTGAATTCATATCATCTTTCGAAGAGTATAATAAGGTGTGTTTACTAATGTCCAACAGTCAAAATTAAATTATGACCACTAACATCACAAACTTTAGACTAATTTTAATAAAAAGGTGCACAAAAGCTATTTCCAAATATTGTAGATTGATAATATTTTACTAAGGGTTATATAAAAAGTAGTATGGGTAGGCCTCTCACAAGGTGGACCAATGTTCTTCCGAGGACAGAGAAATCTATTGACTGTGACCTCTGCAGGACCAGTCATTGTGGTAAACCTTTGGGTGAAATCCTTTGAGTGCCATCTATGTCAACGATGCCCTATGTGACATGTTGAGATACATATTATGTCAATAAATATATAAAAGAGAGGAATTGCTTTAATGTTGACTTTTCTGCATTTTCACTAATTGAAAACAGTCTGAATTAATGTAGAATGTCAATGAGACAGCAGTAACATAGATGAAGAAATATGAAGTTATAAAATTTATTTTCTATGTAGAATTGTGAATGAAATTACTATAAAATATATTTTAAATGTTGTTTCTTTGTTTTACACAGCAACATAGAAAAAATATACAAAAATATATATATAAATAACATAGAAAAAATTAAGTAGAAAAAAAACTGGTTTAATTGTGTACACAATATTACTATTTATATTTTTGCTATTTAAGTTTAACTTTTTATTTTTAAACTAGATTTATTAATGAAGTAAATTTTCCTGCAGTCATAAAGGTATCTTTAGGGACATAGTTTTAAATGTCCCCTAATTGAAAATAACATAAAAAATAATGAATATTAAATTAAAACCTATTTCCAGAACACTTGGGATGACTTACACAAGTACGTACGTCGTAATGTAAAAAGGACATTGGATGAGAAGATTGAGAAACGTAGAGCACATGTCAAAGTCCATGGAAATGCTGACTCTGTTGAGACTGATTCAGATGTCGAAGATAAAGGTTTGAAGACACAACTTATTGTATTTCGCTAAAGAGATATAGATCGTAAGTAAATAAGTCGTCATGGCCTAAAGGATAAGACGTCTGATGCATTCGTTGTTGCGATGCATTGGTGTTCGAATCCCGCAGGTGGGTACCAATTTTTCTAATGAAATACGTACTTAACAAAATTAAATGTTCACGATTGACTTCCACGGTGAAGGAATAACATCGTGCAATAAAAATCAAACCCGCAAAATTATAATTTGCGTAATCACTGGTGGTAGGTTGTGAGTCCGCGCGGGTAGCTACCACCGCCCTGCCTATTTCTGCCGTGAAGCAGTAATGCGTTTCGGTTTGAAGGGTGGGGTAGCCGTTGTAAGTATACTGAGACCTTAGAACTTATATCTCAAGGTGGGTGGCGCATTTACGTTGTAGATGTCTATGGGCTCCAGTAACCATTTAATACCAGGTGGGCTGTGAGCTCGTCCACACATCTAAGCAATAAAAAAAAAAAGAAAAAAAAGATGAACATAAAATCTAACGTAAATTTCAAGTTGAATAATTAGTATACTGTACTGATGTAAGACCAATGAATGATGTATCTAATACAAATACCATACAAGTTGTCTAAAATATCAGGTGTCATCAAAAGACGGCCGTCTGGTGTAGTGGTAAGTGACATGGTCACTACGCAAGGGGGTCGCGGGTTCGAATCCCGCTAAGGGAAGATATTTGTATGATAAATATAAATGTCTTTTCCAGGGTTATGGATGTATATTAAATATATGTATGTGTATAATAAAAATCTTACATTTATATCCGTTATCTGGTACCTGTAACACAAGTTCTTTACGAACTTATCACGGGACCAGTTAAGGTGGCGTGATTGTTAGTAAATATTTATTTCTTTATTTATTATTTAAAGAGCAAAGTGGTACTACAAACCTGGTTAACATTATGTTACAAGACATTATGGTTTACAAAACACTGGTCTGACTTTGCATGAAGTAATACTACTGCTCTGGACTACAGATCTCTGGTAAAGCTTACACTTAAAACTATACAAACCACTGTGTTCATCCACAACGTGTTTACAGTGACCCTTTTTGTCATATAAATTTGGGCTTTGAATTGAACACCCCTCTATGATCTATCCTGAGTCCAAAGACATGTCCTTCTTCTGATGAGGTTATACCTTTGAATTTAAAAGATGTAACATAATTAACAATATAGATATTAAACCTTTTACAGATGGAGAAATCGATGAATTGGAAATATCCGATGATGAACTGAAGAAAGATCATATAAAAATTAAAGAAAAAAAAATTAGTAAAAAAAAGAAATTGGAACAGGTAATGAAAAAAGCATTTTAATGGTCTCTATCTGTTTGTACAATCAAACAAAATAAAAATTACTTGCTTCGCCTCTCTTAAATCAAGATGATTAATTGTTAAAAAAAATGTAGACAGGTCCATAGTTGATATCAATCAGGGAAGAGTTAGGGATCCTGTTTCATAAAAACCCCAAATTCAGCAGATGACCAATTAACATAGCCATGACTGAATCTCCTTAAATTAATTTATTCAGTGTTTTGTATCAAAAACATATGTTCTAGGAACTAAAAGAAGGTGAAGAAGGAACAAAAATTGAATATGACTCGGATTTCTTCGAGGAGCCACCTCCTTATGATGAAAACGCTTCGTTTTACAACATGAATCTATCCAGACCTCTCATGAAGGCTATTGGCTCTCTGAACTTTGTACACCCAACGCCCATACAAGCTGCTACCATTCCTATTGCACTTTTAGGTAAGGCTCGCACCTCACACACTTAGTAGGGATGGTTGCTTATCATTACTGCAGATATGTTTACTGGCGGTAGGACCTCTTGGAGGCCGCACGGGTAGGTACCACCACCCCGCCTATTTCCGCCGTGAAGCAGTAATGCCTTTCGGTTCGAAGGGTGGGGTAGCCGTTGTAAGTATACTGAGACCTTAGAACTTATATCTCGAGATGGGTGGCTCATTAACGTTGTAGATGTCTATGGGCTCCGGTAACCACTTAACACCAGGTGGGCTGTGAGCTCGTCCATTCATCAGAGCAATAAAAAAAAAAGTTCTCTGCTGGACACAGGACTCTCCAAGATTTAAGCAATAACATTTTTATTGATTTATTACGTAGATGTGCTACGGATTGTCTACCATATGTTACGTTGTCACCGGACTCTGTAGACGTCACAAAGTAAATGCAGTTATACTTGATAATGAGGTTGCAGTCTCCGCTGTATTATGTAATATCAGTTCCACTCTTCAAACCGAAATAGAAACTTTCAATACGAAAATGCATTTGTAAAGTAAAATTGAAATTTTGAGCTTATTGAGGTGAAAACTTCTTTAGTGTTGTTGTAATTTGAAAAACTTGCTAAAATATTTCTTCTATCAATTCCAAAATTGCTTTTTTTTTAATTAAAAAAATTGCTTCTTTAACTAAAAAATTCATCTTATATATAAGTATAGTGTACATTGATTATATGATATATGATATAGGTAAGGACGTATGCGCATGCGCCGCCACTGGCACGGGTAAGACGGCTGCATACATGCTGCCCATACTGGAGCGTCTCCTGTACAAGGCGAAAGGAGGGGACCGGATCACCAGGGTCCTGGTACTAGTGCCAACTAGAGAACTCGGTGCTCAGGTCAGGATATTTTTTTAAATTAAAATGGATTAAGAATAAATATATATACAAGACTAGTCAGACCGATCTTATTGTATGGATGCGAAGCATGGACGCTTACACAGAAAGAAGAGGCAAAACTTCTCGTGACGGAGCGAAAGGTATTGAAAAAAATACTAGGACCAGTTCAGAAAGAAGACGGTTCTTGGCACGTTTTTTTTTTTTTTTTATTGCCTTTGTAGGCAGACGGGCATACGGCCCACCTGATGGTGAGTGGTTACCGTCGCCCATGGACTTCAGCAATGCCAGGGGCAGAGCCAAGCCGCTGCCTACCGCTTAATACTCTCCATAAGCCTCGTTTGAAGAAGGACATGTCATAGCGCTCGGGAAACACCATGGAGGGGAGCTCATTCCATAGCCGGATGGTACGTGGCAAAAAAGATCTCTGGAAACGCACTGTGGATGACCGCAGTGGCTCCAGGTAGTATGGATGAACTCTACTCCGGTGGCGGGCGGTGCGATGGTAAAAACGAGATGCTGGTATCATCTCGAACAATTCCTCAGAGCACTCCCCATGGAACATACGGTACAAAATACAGAGGGAACCGAAGTCCCTCCGCAGACCCAGAGGCTCCAAACGATCCGAGAGAATGGGATTATCGACAATCCGAACGGCCCTCCTCTGTATGGAGTCAAATGGAAGAAGCTGGTATTTGGGAGCCCCGGCCCAGAGATGGGAGCAGTACTCCACGCGAGGCCGGACTTGTGCTTTATAAAGCAAAAGTCTTTGTCCAGGCGTGAAGTACCGCTTCGCTCTGTTGAGGACTCCCAGCATTTTGGACGCCAACTTGGCTTTGCCTTCCAAATGACTCCGAAACTGGACATCGCTCGAAATGTCGACCCCAAGTATCCCGATACTCTCGGAAGGTTGCAGGGATACTCCTTGGAATTGCGGCGCCATGACAAAGGGGTCCTTCTTCGCAGTGAACGCGCAAACTTGTGTCTTTATCGGGTTGAATTGAACCAAGTTCAATTCACCCCATTCGGAGACTCGCCCCAGAGAGTTCTCCACTTCAGACACAAGTTTTGATCGTCTCTCTTGCACCACGCTCCGAGAGAGACTCTGATGGCCGATATATCGCGCATCCCCCGTGCTATCATCTGCATAGCAATGCATGCCATCAATAGACAGCATGTCATTGATATACAGGATGAAAAGCGTGGGAGAGAGCACCGAACCTTGTGGAACGCCAGCGTTAATGGTCATGGTACCAGAGCAGTCACCGTCTACAACGACCGTGATGCTCCGCCCATCCAAAAAGCTAGCGATCCACTTGCAGAGACCCTCGGGGATTCCGTAAGATGGTAACTTCCGGAAAAACAAGGATGTGGAGAGGCTTTTTGGTGAGCCAAACATTCTGGGGGAGATGGAGGCACGGAGGCTCGGATGGCTCGGGCATGTAGTGCGTATGGAGCAGGATCGGGCTATACAACGGGTGTACGCGGGTGTACCAGAGGGACGCCGCCCCGTAGGGAGGCCCAAGTACCGCAGGTCTGACGCTGTGGAAGGAAATTTACGTGAGCTCCAAGTGTCGGACTGGCAAGGTGTTGCGCAGCGCCGCGATGAATGGCAAAGTTTATTGTCGGAGGCCAAGACCCACTTCGGGGTCACAGCGCCAGCTCAGTAGTAGTAGTAAGAAAAAATATTGAGAAATACGTTATACTAGTGGTCCCGCAGTAGTCGAAATTCGACAATAATTAATTGAAATTATAAGTTTGAATATTATTTAGGTTCTATTGTCAAAGACTATTATACTTCTTTATTCACACATTTCACCAAGACTTTAGAAGACAAATAATGTTAAAGATTGACACTTTCAGAATGCTTAGTAATGTTGGTTATTAAAACAGAACTTTGTTACAGGTCCATGCAGTCACAAGACAACTGGCTCAGTTCTCATCGGTGTCTGTGGGACTGTCTGTGGGAGGATTGGATGTTAAATATCAGGTGGGAATACCATAACATTCTTTAATGTAATGTCTTGTGATCTGCACGGGATGGTATTTTAAAGTGTTTTTAGATAAATTTTTTATTGCTTAGTCACGGATTAGGCACGGATTAGATAATTTTTTTATTGCCTAAGACGAGTTCACGGCCCTCCTGGTGCTAAGTAGTTACTGGAGCCCATACACATCTACAACGTAAATGCCGCCACCCACTTTGAGATATTATGAGTTCTAAAGTCTCAGTATAGTTACAATGGCTGCTCCATCTTTCAAACCGGAACGCATCACTGCTTCACGGCTGAAATAGGTAGGGTGGTGGTACCTACCCGTGCGGACTCACAAGACGTCCTACCACCGGTAATTACGCAAATTATAATTTTGCGGGTTTTTTTTATTACACGATGTTACTCCTTCACCGTGGAAGTCAATTGCGAACATTTGTAAAGTACGTATTTCATTAGAAAATTTTTTACCCGCCTGCGAGATTCGAACACCGCTACATCGCTCAACACGAATGCATCGGACGTCTTATCCTTTAGGCCACGACGACTTCAAAATGTTCTTATGTTTAGTATTAGGCAAATTAACTTCCGATCTATCTTAAAACTAGAGTTTACACATGCAGGGGCCTTAAATTTGATTATTTTTCCAACCCTCAGACACAGCCCACTGAGTTTCTCGCCGGATCTTCTCAGTGGGTCGCGTTTCCGATCCGGTGGTAGGTTCTGCGAAGCACTGCTCTTGCTAGGGTCAGTGTTAGCAACGTCGTCAGGTTTGAGCCCCGTGAGCTCACCTACTAGTTAAGTTTGAAATTTTTACGTTACGTTGAAATAGCCTCTCAAGGCTCTCAGCTTAAGTAGGAAAAAAAAAGATTATTTTCGTGTTACATTTGAGTCGACTATTATCAAAGTCGGCAATGTGACTTTTGGACAATTATTGGTAAATCAGAAAAACGAATTATTGACTTTGTATTCCATTGGCAGTCACAAAACTCTTCTGAACGACATCTTAGATAAATAACAGGTTAACCTTTAACCTTTATTTAATACAGGTTTTGAACCGTATTCTTTGAAGGAGACGTTTATATTTCAAATCAATCTGTATTGACATATCAATAACATTTTTTTGTCCAAATGCACAGATTGCCACCTTTGATAATAGACGACTCATATTCCGAAAATGTATACACTCGGGAATCTAGCCCGGAGTAATTGATGCTATCATTTCCTAACAACTTAAAGGCTGCGTATTGTTAAACGTGCCGTTAAAACCACATCAATGGATGACAGGAAAGCGTGCTGCGTCAAAACCCCGACATAGTCATAGCGACGCCGGGTCGACTCATCGATCACATACGGAACACCCCCTCGTTCGGGCTCCACAGCATCGAGGTGCTGGTGCTGGACGAAGCTGACAGGTACGGAGACAAGAATTAATAGTAATGTGTTAATTTTTTTTATTGCTTACATGGGTGGACGAGCTCAAAACACAGCTCATCTGGTGTTAAGTGGTTATAATAATGCGCCACCTACCTTGAGATATAAGTTCTAAGGTCTCAAGTATAGTTACAACGGCTGCTCCACCCTTCAAACCGAAACGCATTACTGTTTCACGGCAGAAATAGGCAGGGCGGTGGTACCTACCCGCGCGGACTCACAAGAAGTCCTGCCACCAGTAAATAACCAGTTATGTGAATTGGTTTTATGTTAGCTTTGATCGTGTTGAATAAAATTATACTGAGCTATTAAGGTTCAGCCAAAAAGCCCCAATGAAGTTAGCACTGTTTTATTCAAATAATATATTTCTCTTGTATAGCATAACTTCGATGCATGCAGGAGAGTAGGCTGAGATGGTATGGTCACATAAAAAGGGAGCAAGAAAAGGATTTAGTGCTGTAGGACAAAAGGGAAGGCAATGTTGTTGGGGAGGATGTCGAAGACAGAACGAATTGGAGGTATAGAATAGGGAAAGCTGACCCCACTAGCAAGTGTGATAAATAGCTCGGAAAAGAGAGAGAGAGAGAGAGAGACAGCATAGCATAGCACAGCAGAGCTTCGATCTCAAAATGACCAAAGTCTTGGCTGTGTGAGCTATATTTCCTGTGCTCCCTCTCATAGCGGAGACAAAAAAAACTGAATATCTTCTATGTTTGATGTTTAGGGAAAAGTGTGATTGATCCCCGTGTGAATGCTCTTTAAACAACGATCTCCCAATCTCAGGATGCTGGACGAATACTTCGCGGAGCAGATGAAGGAGATCATCCGTCAGTGTTCCCCTAAACGTCAGACCATGCTGTTCTCGGCCACCATGAGCGAGGAAGTCAAGGACCTGGCGGCGGTTTCCTTGAAGAAACCCGTCAAATTGTTCGTCAACTCCAATAAGGAGGTGGCTTTCAACTTGAGGCAGGAGTTCGTGAGGTCAGTACAGAGTTCAGCGTTTCATTAATTTACTGACTATGCAGCTTATGCAGCGTTATGCAATCAGTGAGTGAGTGGGGTTGTCAAAAATATAATTTTAAGTTTTTATAGGATCATTTAAAGGAGGGCTGTCCAAACTAGATACCTTTGCAGCCTAATTAAATTTAATACAAAAGCTGGAGGGCCACAAAAAAAAACTATTTTCAAAAACTTTCCGGGAATTCCCTCAATAATAGTAAAATATAGCTTCACTTTAAAATGATGTAATGGGAATGAAATGTTACAACAATAATACTTTATTTAATTAACTATTAATAATTATATTAAATATTGATCATAATATGTTTTAAAATATTTTTCGTGTATCTCAGGAATGTGGACAAGATAGGACTATTATAACAAATTACATTATTATTTTAGCAACGTTTCGGTCTTTTATTAGACCTTCATCAGGCATCTGAAAATTACACATAATTGATAACCTACAATACAAAAAACAACAATTGTCTAAACTACCATATTTACCATAATATGAATTTAAATAATCCCTATCATACACTGCACAATTGTCTCATATATATAATGATATATTAAAAGAGTATAAATCTAATAGAAAAAAATAACCTTCATTTCAGATATATTTGAATTTGATACTTAGCGAGGTTTGCGCTAGTATAAAATATTGTAAAGTATAGTCTATGTACTGAAGTTTCAATAGTGGGCTAACCTTTGTCACGCAATTAGCAATTTTATGTGTCGTGTTGGCTTTGTTTCCGGAATCAAAAATAGTAATTAAATAATTTAGTGGCTTTGTAGATTTGTATTAGTCTCTGATGTCTGAGACAATTGTGCAGTGTATGATAGGGATTATTTAAATTCATATTATGGTAAATATGGTAGTTTAGACAATTGTTGTTTTTTGTATTGTAGGTTATCAATTATGTGTAATTTTCAGATGCCTGATGAAGGTCTAATAAAAGACCGAAACGTTGCTAAAATAATAATGTAATTTGTTATAATAGTCCTATCTTGTCCACATTCCTGAGATACACGAAAAATATTTTATAATAATTATGGACGACAATATTGATAATAATAATATGTTTTGTTAAAGAATTCTACTATCTAAACTTTTTATATCCAAAACTATTTTCTGATTAAAACATGCGCCGCGGACCGCATGAAAAAAAGGGGCCATGACGAAAAAAATCGATCCTGAATAAAAAAAAAAAAAATTTTAAAATGTTTTATTAGCATAATTTACGCTCCATCATGTTAGTACAGCAAAATGAAACGATAGTTACATAAAAAAATACATTACTTTACTAAATGAAAAAAACCCAGCAATGAAACACAAAATCAAAAACAGCTGATGCTCGGGTCAACGAACGCCCGGGCGCGGCGTTTCTTTTACACGCAAACCGACGCGGCGCAAAATTTATAACTTTGTACGTACAAAATTTTCGTTTTTCGGAAGCGGTCTCCTAACACCCAATGTAATATCGATGCTTGAAAGGCAAACGTGACTAAGCGACAATGCGTGAACTTTACAGTAGACTAATTTAAAGTTGAAATACCTGAAAAAATAATATTCTAACGAATCTAGCTGTAGGATTGAAATTATTTTAATAGGTCTAGAATTTTTTTTTTTTTTTGCGCATCGGCTATGGTTATTGCCTATCATTTACGTATAAAGCAGTTATTGTACATACATACATTTTTTGTTTACAATTATTCTGTAAGAGCCCATCGGTAAAGGCCTCCTCCAAATTGAGCCAGTTTTCTCTGGATTGTGCTGCTTGTGTCCTATTTGGACATGTTTGGCGTTTAATTTCATATTTCATATCCTATATATATAAAAATGAATTGCTGTTCGTCAGTCTCGCTAAAACTCGAGAACAGCTGGACCGATTTGGCTAATTTTGGTCTTGAATTATTCTGATTACCAGAGAAGGTTTAAAAGGTAGATAAATATGAAAATGCTCGAGATTAAATGAAAATAATAATTTTGTTTGTCCTTTGATGTGTCCCCTTGATGTGTCTTTTATTTATTGATTGAGGCACTACGAAGTCTGCCGGGTCAGCTAGTATAGTATAGATATGATACGTCGCGTCCCAGGATACGCAAGGAGCGCGAGTGCGACCGGGAGGCGATGCTGGCGGCGCTGGTGTGCCGCACGTTCCGCGACCGGACTGTCGTCTTCGTGCAGACGAAGCGCCAGGCGCACCGCCTCCACGTCATGCTGGGCATGCTGGGCGTCAAGGTAAACGAGCTCTAGCCACCTCGACGGCACCACAGGTCTACCAGAGGCACGGTATTACTGGTGGTAGGACCTTTTATAGACAACGTAAATGCCGCCACCCACCTTGAGATGGGCACTACGATGAAATAGGCAGGGTGGTGGTACCTATCCGCGCGGACTCACAAGAGGTCCTATCACCAGATGCAATTTAGATCAGCGCAGAACAATTTTGAACAATTAATTTACGGAACACCCTGTATGGTACCGTTCAGGCGGCCGAGTTGCACGGAGCCCTAAACCAGCCCCAGCGCTTGGACTCTCTGAAGCGTTTCCGGGAGCAACAGGCCGATGTGCTGGTGGCTACAGACGTGGCGGCCCGCGGTCTGGACATCCCGGGGGTCAACACCGTCATCAACTTCACGCTGCCGGCCACCTTAGAACATTATATACACAGGGTGAGCGATATTGTGGTTTTTTTGGAAACCTATGCTGATAGCTTTGAGAGGCTATTTCAGCTTCGCCTTGACGCGTGGGTGGGCTCACGGGGTTCGAACCTGGCGACGTTGCTAACATGAACCCTAGCAAGAGCCGTGCTTCGCAGAATCTACCACCGGATCGGAAACGCGACCCACTGAGAAGATCCGGCGAGAAACTCAGTGGGCTGTGTCTATGGGTTAATTTACTCGTCCATTATTTGTCTATAGTGTAGCCTTGACGAAATCTGTGATTGTAGAAATAGTCTTTGACAATAGAACCTTAATAATGTTGAAACATATAATTGAAATTAATAATTATTGTCGAATTTTGACTACTGGGCGACCACTACTTAAATTGAATAACTATAGTGATGGGTATTGCGTATTCTGAACTCGTACAAGTGTTCTGCGTATTTCCATCGCGAAGCAGTTCGTTCTGAGTTGAAGAGTGAATGAGCTCTTGTTTAATGCAATTCGATCTTATATCTTAAGATCGTTGTGAAATTGTGAGCATCGGTGACTTAAATACAGCCAATTGTTACTTTTTTATTACCGAATTTTTGCTACCGGAGCCATCTATAACATAAATGCCGCCACCCACCCTGAGATATGAGGCTTCAGGTCCCAGTATACTTACAACGGCTGCCCCACCCTACAAACCGAAACGCATTACTACTTCACGGCAAAAATTGGCGGGGTGGTGGTACCTACCCGCGCGGGCTCACACGTGGTCCTACCACAACTAGTAAGATCGTATGTTCATCTATAAAATGTAGGTCCTTATGTATTCCAGGTGGGTCGAACAGCCAGGGCGGGTCGCGCCGGGGTGTCCGTCTCGCTCGCCGGCGAGGGCGAGAGGAACCTGGTCAAATCGATAGTCAAACGCGCGTCGAAACCGGTCAAATCCAGACAAATACCGCCCGATATCGTCGCCAAATACAGGGATAAACTGATCAAACTCGAACCGGAGATTGGTAAGTGTTAGATCTACACGAATACTGGGTGTTAGGAGACCGCTTCCGAAAACAAAATGTTGTACCTAAAAAGTTGTAAATTTTGCGCCGCGCCGGTGTGCGTGTGAAAGAGACGCCGCGCCCGGGCGTTCGTTGACCCGAGCATCAGCTGTTTTTGATTTTGTGTTTCATTGCTGTTTTTATTTTATTTAATAAAGTAATGTATTTTTTTATGAAACTATCGTTTCTTTTAGCTGTACTAACATGATGGAGCATAAACAATACTAATAAAACATTTAACGTGAAACATTTAAAATGATTTCTTTTTCTAAACTCAGGATCGATTTTTTTTCGTCCCATCGTCAAAGGTGTCATTAGTACTATCGTCTGTCTAGGGTAGGTACCACCACTCCGCTTATTTCTGCCGCGAAGCAGTAATGCGTTTCGGTTCGAAGGGCGGGGCAACCGTTTTAACTATACTGAGACCTTTAGAACTTATATATCAAGGTGGTTGGCGCATTTACGTTGTAGATGTCTATGCGCTCCAGTAACCACTTAACATCACTTGGGCTGTGAGCTCGTCCACCCATCTAGACTATAAAAACTTTAAATTGAATAAAAAACACAACGAAATTGTCACCAGTCGCAATTCTCGACGAGGAATACGCCGAGAAGCAAATGAACAAGATGGAGAAACAAACCGCCAAATTAGAGGTCGTCCTCAAGAAGGACGAAGCGCAGCCTGGACCTCAGCACGAGCCACAGCGGCAGCGGGACTGGTTCCAGACCCCGAAGCAGAAGAGAGAAGAGAAAGAAAGACTCGCACTCACGACACACGTCGGAAAAGGTATGATGTTGCGTACAACGAAACTACAGCAAGAGCTTGACATTTCTCGTTCCCGCTAAAACTATGGAGGGTAGAGGTAAGGAGAACCGTCTCATATGGGAGGAAGCTTGAAAAAGTGTCCCACTTCAGCACTAAATAACAGTTCAAAAATCCTCCAGAATGGCGCTAGCATAGGCACAGGGTATGATGTGAATTGAGCAGTTGTTAACTGATTGAAGTATGCTGAGTTAGGAATTTAACATATTTAACAATAAACATACCATAACTGGGAAAATGACCCATTTGGAACTTTTGCATTGAAAATGCACGTATTACTTTTGCACATTTGACTTCATGACTTTTTCTTACCAATTAATCTATAATTATACATTTTTTTGTTGTTTTATTTATTTATTTACTACAAGGAGAACAAACAGCCAACTAACATAGTATAATAATATAACAAATAATAGACACAAAAAAACAATTAACGGTTCCCACCAATATAAACAAATTAACATTAGAGAATTAAATTTAATTGTTTTGTTTATTTTGAGTAATACTTGTCGTATACCATTATCTACCCGCTATGGTAAAAGTAGGTACCAGCAAATGTTGGTATGATTAGTGTTAATGACTAGAGTAGTTAGTGACAGTGTAATATACAAGACCTCACATGTTTACGTAGTCCAAACTAATTTCGTCAATATAACCTAAAATTATTGCTGTGGTAAAACGTGGAGACATCGATTGCATTTTATTAACAGCTTTAAATAAAATACTTTTTGTGATTTTGTAGTGCTTACAGTTCTTTCGTCCTTTTTTATTTCTCTATCTTATTCTAATTACTTAAAGCGCCTTTTTTTAAATTTACCCGGTTGCTACTGTAGCGCCACCCTTATTTAGCAGATTTTAACGGAAACTTTTTACACACGCAGACGGTTCTCCTTACCTCTACCCTTCATAGCTAAAAAACATAACCATGTCCACAACTCAATACGGATTTGGTTTTTTTTTTTATTACAGATACGAAAAAAAAAGGCAAAGGAAAACGTAAACATGATGACGATTCCGATGATGACTCTGGTCCAAGCAAGAAGAAAAAGATTAGAAAGAACGCGCCCAAGGACTCCGCCGAAGAACGTGCGAAACGAGAAGTCGAGAAGGTAATATAAAATAATTGAAAAAGAATATCCCATTTTGCCACCATCACTACATAGTATAAAACAAAGTCGCTTTCTCTGTCCCTATATCTGTCTGTCCCTATGTATGCTTAAATCTTTAAAACTACGCAACGGATTTTGATGCGGTTTTTAATAGATAGAGTGATTGAAGAGGAAGGTTAATATGTATAATAACATCAATTAAATAGTGGAGAAGTCAATAATAAATTACAGTTTCCGAAGCGAAGCGAGGGCGGGTCGCTAGTTATACTATACAATAGTAATTTCGGCCTTATGTTTGTAACGGCATCCACATTCTATAAACTGGGCTAAGTACTTAACAGCAGGCGGGTAATAAGTTCATTGATCATTCAATAAAGAAGAAATCTTGTGAGTTTCCAATCTCTCAGTTATACTACTTTAAAAAGATCAGAACGAAAACGTGAGTGCTGTGTAAGCTATTAACAAAGAAAATATAGAATTTTGATCCATAATTTGCCTACACAGATTCTTCTTCATCAGTATACCGTATCCATTATTGAAACCGCTCATCCCCAGGTCGCATTGCTGCAGTCTCGCTTGGCTAAGCGCAACAAGAAGCAGCGTCGTATACGCGCCGTTGGTGATGATGATGAGACTCAAGCTCCAAGGAAAATCAACAAGCCCAAGAAGAAACAAACTAATTTCGCTGTGGACCTGACCGACACTTCAAAGAAAGCCACCAAGAGACTTAGATATGACGCCAATTTGGTACAAAAGGGTAAAAGCCCAAGGGGACCGAAGGGTAAGGGACCTCAAAAGGGTAAGGGACCTCAAAAGGGTAAAGGTCAAAAGGGTAAAACGTTTGGAAAGCCCACAGCCCCAAAAAATAGTGGGAGAAGGAAAAAATAAATGTGCCTAGATAAAATAATTGTCGTTTTATTTTGTTTTACTACTAAATTTCTTTTGTTTTTTCTTTTTTTTTATTGCTTAGATTGGTGGACGAGCCCACCTGGTGTTAAGTGGTTACTGGAGCCCATAGACATCCACAACGTAAATACGCCACCCACCTTGGGATATAAGTTCTAAGGTCTCAGTATAGTTACAACGGCTGCCCCACCCTTCAAACTGAAACGCATTACTGCTTCACGGCTTCAGAAATAGGCAGGGCGGTAGTACCCACCCGAGCGGACTCACAACAGGTCCTACCATCAGTAATCAACAATCAATCCATTTCTATTTACCTACCAATTGTGAAAGATTATAATTCACCGTTCTGCATTACTGTTGGTTTTAGCATCAGTGTATTTACATGTATAGTGTGTATGTATGAACATGAATACTTGGATTCATGAGCTAAGAGAAAAAGTACACATTTTTAATCGCCTCAAAGGAGACAACGAGCACGTAAATGTCATAGTTAAAAAAATTCTGTTTACAATGGTAAGGAATGACCGCTTATTACGTAATCGCAAATTCTGTTATGTGGAAAATGATGAGGACCGGAACGAAATGAAGTTGACTTACTTAAAACTTTAATCAATTGGGATGAAAATAAATGATATTGAATGATGTGATGAAACGAAATTATGGAGGGTAGATGTAAGGAGAACCGTGTCTGTGTGTAGAAAAGTGTCCGTTAAAATCTGCTAAATAAGGGTGGCGCTACAGTAGCAACCGGGTAAATTTAAAAGAAAGGCGCTGAAAGTTATTGGAATAAGATAGAGAAATAAAAAAGAACGAAAGAAATGTAAGCACTACAAAATCACAAAAAGTATTTTATTTAAAGCTGATAAGAAAATGCAATCGATGTCTTAACGTTTTACCACAGCAATAATTTCAGGTTATATTGACGAAATTAATTTGGACTACGTAAAGGGTGAATGAAGTTAGCCCCTCAAAAAATTTTTTTTTCCTATTTTATACTTATTTTCTATTAATTCGTTTGTTCATCATTTGTTCATGATTGTTCACTGTTAATAATTGTTTGTTCTGCAGTTATTTATTTAAAAAAAATATTTAAAAATATACCTACAAGTTAACCCCTCTAATGCAATTTTTAATATTTTTTCATCCTTAATGACTCGTAAATATTCATTTTCGATTGTTCTTATATAAAACACGTTTGTTCTCTTTCGAAATTACTCGTTTTTTGTTTAATTTACTATTTTTATTAGTTGAATAAATGTATGCAAAATATGTGTACTGCGCATGCGTCAACTATAATGCCTAAACTCTCTACGCGGCTTTAATCGTGAAAAAAAAACAAATATACCTTCAATCGATAAGTAGGAGGATGGAAAAAATGTATTTGGTCTAACTTAACGCCAATGCACATTATTTCATTTATTTATTTTTTAATTTTTTTAATTAAGCTGTATACCAATTAATTGCTCCTTCAGGATTTATATTTGTTTTTTTTTCACGATTAAAGCCGCGTAGAAAGTTTAGGCATTATAGTTGACGCATGCGCAGTACACATATTTTGCATAAATTTATTCAACTAATAAAAATAGTAAATTAAACAAAAAACGAGTAATTTCGAAAGAGAACAAACGTGTTTTATATAAGAACAATCGAAAATGAATATTTACGAGTCATTAAGGATGAAAAAATATTAAAAATTGCATTAGAGGGGCTAACTTGTAGGTATATTTCTAAATATTTTTTTAAAATAAATAACTGCAGTCAAACAATTATTAACAGTGAACAATCATGAACAAATGATGAACAAACGAATTAATAGAAAATAAGTATAAAATAGGAAAAAAAATTTTTTTTGAGGGGCTAACTTCATTCATCTCTACGTAAACATGTGAGGTCTTGTACCTAACTACTCTACTCTCTCTCTACTACTACTCTAACTACTCTACTGTCACTAACTACTCTAGTCATTAAATATATTAAATTTCCTAACTCAGCATCATTCAATCCAATGTTCCAGTAGAATGGCGGGAATGTACAGAGAATGTGGTGGTCTTTTCGGAATCCGAGAAGCCACATTCAGCAATTGTCTCATTGGCCCACTTAAACATTTTTAATCTTAAATATTAAGTGTATTATCTATGAATGTTATAGATGCTAATCTATTAATAAACCACCGTTACCTACTACAAGCTTAAAACTCAAGAAATGATAAATTTATTCTCACAAATTCGCTAGGTACTCGCATTCTCGCCAAAAATCCTGAGGTGCAAACTGCAAATTAAGTATAGGTATTATCTATGGTGGTGTGTATTATCTATGGCTGTACAGCCGTCAACCACTGGAAAAAAAGGGCGGGAACGTCAAACTAAATAGGCGCTTTTTTCAAGTTAATTTTAATTTATTTGGTTTTAGCCCTTTTTTACGACATTGTTTCCTAATTTTTGATTGTGTTTGAGTTTAAAATTATATTTCATAAGTGTGTTCCGTAATAATGGACGATGACGACGGGGGTGAGGGCTTCAGCTCCGCCCCTGTGTCCGCTCCCATAATAATGGGAAAAAGAAGAATGAAGTCATCTGAATACGACGAAAGCCGCAAAATAAAAATGACTTTCATTAAAAATAAGCGCGGTCTTTTTAAAGACCACCATGCTNCCGTGTTGCCAATGCTTTCAATAAATTAAAAAAAAAAAAAAACCGTCAACCACTGACTCAGAAATTGACTTTTTGGCGGGAACGCGAGAAGTGAAGCTGTGTGATTTGTTATATTTTGTCTATTTAGTGTTTTTAAATATGTAATAACGGTGGCTTATTAACTGTTTAATATCTGTGAAAGTGCACAAATGTGGGAAAATGAAACAAAGCTGCTGGACGTAACTTCTCGGGATCCTCCAAAAAGTCCACTGAAAAAATCTTAGTAAATGACCACCATTTTACTGAGATTATATTTCATCCCATAACATCTCATCTTAATTTCATCCCAGTTGATTAATGTCTCAATTTTTTATTTATTGCTTATATGGGTCAACGAGCTCATAGCCCACCTGGTGCTAAGTGGTTACTAGAGCCAATAGACATTTACAACGTAAATGCGCCACCCATCTTGAGATATAAGTTCTAAAGTCTCAGTATAGTTACAACGGCTGCCCCACCCTTAAACCGAAACGCATTACTGCTTCACGGCAGAAATAGACGGGGTGGTGGTACCTATCCATGCAGACTCACAAGAGGTCCTACCACCAGTAATTACGCAAATTATAATTTTGCGGGTTTGATTTTTATTACACGATGTCCTTAACTGTGGAAGTCAATCGTGAACATTAGTCAAGTACGTATTTCATTAGAAAAATTGGTACCCGCCTGCGGGATACGAACACCGTTGCATCACTAGATACGAATGCATCGGACGTCTTATCCTTTAGGCCACGATGATTACTAATTATCTTATAATTTTTCATAAAAATAAGAATAAAAATTAAAATAAGACATGACTTAAAGGTCTTCGTTACCAGGTCATAAAATCCTTTATAAAATAGACTCCAAAATAACGTTTTGCGGGAACGCGATGAGTGAAGTTGTGTGATTTGTTTAATTTTGTCTATTTAATGTTTCTTCAGGTTTTAAATGTGTAATAACGCTGGCTTATTAACTGTATAATATCTGTGAAAGTGCACAAATATGGGAAAATGAAACAAAGTCGCAGAACGTAACTTCTCGGGATCCTCCAAAAAGTCCACTGAAAAAGTCTCAGTATACTTATTAACTCCATGATTTCATCATATATCATCTCATTTCATTTCTTTTCATTTAATAAAATTTCGTTTTTATTTCTATATCATTTCATTTCATGCGATGTTTCATAATCATGATCCCTATATAAAGATCGCCTGTCGCAGCGAAACTGAGAACCAGGAACAATATCCTACAAAAGCTGACAGGAACAACGTGGGGAGCATCAGCCAACTGTCCGAGGATATCCGCCCTGGCCCTGGAATATACGACGGCAGAATACTGCGCCCCTGCATGGTTAAACAGCTCCCACACTACTGAAGTCGAGCAAGCAACTAAATCGCACCATGCGCCTAATCATGGGGTGCAACCAATCCCTTTGCACTGGCTTCCGGCTATGAGCACCATTGCCCCACTCCACCTTTGCCGCACCCACCACCTATACGCAGTGACAGAAAAGGCGCTTAGACAACCCGAGCTGCCTATCAACAGGGACTTAGCCAACTTCAAACCGACGAGATGGAAGTCACGAAACCCACCGGCATTACAGGCACACCAACCACACTCCAATTGGAACACAAACGAGGCCTGGGTTAAAGAATGGTCAGCCAGATGTATCCCACCTGAACTGTTAGAGCTGAATCCACACTCCCGCCCACCTCGTTTCAAAGAAAAACGCCCAATCTGGTGCATGCTTAACCATCTGAGAACGGGAGTTGGTCACTGTAACCAACTACGGAAGAGATGGGGTTCGACGGAAAACGAAAGCTGTGAAAGAGCAAACTGTACGCCACATTGTCATGGAATGCCCACTAACGAGATTCGCAGGCCAAGTGGAAGATCTCGAAAATGTAACAAAAGAAGCTAGGTATCGATTATTTCATAAACTGTAAATTTAAATTATAACCACGCAGTGTAAACGAATGCCATACGATAAATAAAGAAATAAATAAATCAACTTCATTTCATTTCGTAATCATTTTTAATATAAAAAAGTTTTCATTAAAATTAAAATAAGACTTGACCTAAAGATCTTAGTTACCAGGTCATAAAATCCCTTAAAAAACACTCCGTCTGAAATAATATTTTTCTAATATTTTGTGGCCTGGTAACCAAATCTTTAAGCCAATACTCAATGCAGTTTAGTATTCATAGATCTTTATACTTTGATTCTCCCATTAGACAGGCAAAGTATCCCATACTGAGAAATTTAGAATAAAAACCAAAAGTAATGGTTATCGTTCAGAAAGTGAATTAAATTAAACGATGTGATATAAGACAGCACCGTACGCGTTGAATTAGATAAATGGAAAACCTTCGAATAAAATGGTTTGAATATTGGAAGTAACAATTTTACAAATTTCAAATAGTTATTAACCTGAAAATGACACAATTTCACACGTTGCCTTACCGCCAAAATATGCTTAATGACAATTATTTAAGCACTTCTACCAATTTCATAGATTATTATCACACTTTTTTTAGTCTGTAGTGTGTACTCTGCAGTCTGTGGTTTGTTTATGCCCGACATTTTCTAATAAAAATAAATTTACTGAAATTTCACGTTGATGTCGTTTGATAGGCGGTTAATATTTACATCTCGGCAGAATTATAAAAAAATATACCGAGATTGCAAAACAAAATATACAGCTATTAAAATCTTTAATATAAAACTTTTGTTATAAATGTTACGTGTACATAGCGAAGCTCAATTTTTTTTAGACCAATATAGCGGGAAATCGTCGTGACGCGCTAACATTGATAATTCGCTATCGAGCCTTTTGATGTGTTGTAGCACGCGTGTTATGTGTTCATTTACTTATTGACGGCACAGTACGGTCAAAATAAACTAAAACTGACAATGTCGGACGAAATGGCGGTGATTGATAACGGGGGAACCGAAGAAACTAATACTGAGAGTATTGAGAAGGTGGACACGGACGTCGAAAGAAGTCTAGAAGCTAAAGAAGTTCATAAAGATCATACAGAGCTTAAACATAGTGACGAACCCTCGAATTCTCAAGAAGGTAACACTACATAAAAATTATAACCTATTTGACTTTGATGACACACATAACTACGTTTTCAATTTGTTTTCTAACATTAAGCTTCATTTGTAATAACGTTGTAGATGAAAAACTTCAAGGGATATAATATTTAAATAATCAATATTGAAAGAAAAAAGTTGAAAAGTGAAAATCTGTTGTTGTTTTAAATTTAATTTACATGATTGAAAATTATGTACCAATGTCTCTGTTACAATCAAATCATATTAAACGATCAATTATGATTGTAATTAAACTTCGCCTTTTCTTAAAATGTATTTGCAATCAAAAAATGGCAATGCGAATTAACAACACAATGTTTTACCTATATTAAAAAATTGAGTTGACTGTTAAGTGTATTGTTTCTCTCCTATGAAAAGTGAAAGTATAGTATGTAATTTATTTTAAAAAAAAACAATAAATTTGAAATTGTTAGCAAGTCTGTCTTTCTTAGACAATTTCAAATTTAATTAAATTATTGTTTTTTTAATTCAAACTCTGGTTTAAAGATATTTTTAATTATTCACATTTCTCTTTCATGATGTGTGAGATGGTCATATATTGCATGATCATGTTCAAGTTGTTAGTGTGTCTTGTACAATAAAATTATTACCACTAGTATTTAAGTTGATATTGCAAAATTTTTATTGTTTTCCGTTGGATCACTTTGTACACATTACTGCTTGGAACAAACTACAATTCATAGACCTTACCTGTTATTAAGCAACCCTGCCACATGAATAATCATTACAATTAGCTAGGGTACTTATAATGCAGAAATCATACTATTCTTAGGTTTGATTATTTTGAACTGAAAATATGAATTGGTATACTATATACTGAGTTCCGGAAATAAATAACATTTTTTTTCACTGTGGTAATAATCGTTCTCCCTTTTTACTATTTATTTTACGGCCGTCTGGTGTAGTGGTAAGTGACATGGTCACTACATAAGGGGGTCGCGGGTTTGAATCCCGCCGAGGGAAGATATTTGTATGATAAATATAAATGTATTTTCCAGGGTTATGAATGTATATTAAATATATGTATGTGTATAATAAAAATCTTACATTTATTTCAGTTATCTGGTACCTGTAACACAAGTTCTGTACGAACTTATCACGGGACCAGTTAATGTGGCGTGATCGTTAGTAAATATTTATTATTTATTTTATTTTAGAAACTGATTCTATAGAAGATTCAAAACTGGAAATTGTTGAAGATAATTTAGAAAAGCAAGAGAGTGTTCCATCTACAGAACCAAATGTCAGCCCTAATATCACAGAACCCAAAAATACAGAGCCTGAGCCAATTACAGAGTTAGACACTAAAGCTCTTGATGCTGTCTCTGAAACACAAGTAGCAGACCAAAAAATATTTGATGAAGATGTGAACGAAACTCCTCCGCAAATTCCAGAATTACAAGTCCATGTTGAAACAGATGTCAAGACCCCTGAAATGGAAGTGGACGAAAATATTGAAGACAAAATCGAATTTGAGACTGAGATGTTGAAAAGAGACACAGATGACAGTTGCAAAGAAGGTGAGAAATTAGAAGATATAATTGCGGAAGTAAATAAAGGCATCAAGCGCAGGGCATCAGATGCTTTCGGTGATGAGAATGATGAAGAATTTAAGGGATTTGATACCGTTGAAGATATTAAAACAGAAGTTTATGGTCGTGTTGTTGGTAAGTTCATAGTCATTATTTATCTGAATAAAAAGTTATACATTAAGTTTACAATTTTAACATTTTACGATTTCTGCTGTTAGGATGGGACGATGGTTTAAAACAGGTATTTCATTAAGTATTTCACCTTTCGTCATAAGATACTTGCTGAATGCCATAATGTGTTAATTCTAGCAAAACTTTCTGCAAACTTTATAACAAGATAATGTAGACCTTGTAAAATAATATTTTCTTCCACGATGTATTATGTTCTATGCACGTGCACATAACATATCAAATTGGGATTTGTCTTTTAGAAAGCATGAACTATTTCACCAAAACTATACCTCTGATTGTAAATAATAGTGGACGAGGACGAGTATTTAATTATTGCTTTGAGAATAAAATTCAGGAAAATTTTATAATTCATATAACATTATTGAAAACAATAATCCAAATACAATGTTTCGCAATGGCAATTATTCCATGGTAGATCAGTGTAATGATTAGTCTATGAAGCATTTAAATATCAGTCTTCTATTCACATACTTAAATCTATGACTGCATATTACTTTGAATAGAATGCAGTGTTCCGTTTATTCAGTTTATTATAGCATTGTTTCACCTTGTACCTAATAAGCATTTATTGTCAAAAATAATACCATTAGTCTAGTGCTTAAGATACTCTGGGTGAGATTACCAATCCGGAGTTAATAGTTTCTTTAAAAAATATTTGAACATCAGAATCTCAGTTTTCATATCCTCTGGATTCACTGTGATACAAGAGGAAATCCTAGTTTTCCGACTTTAAAAATTTAATACTTTTCGATTTATTACACATATATTCCTTCTAAATTAATGTTGTTTGTGAACACTTGTGAGTTAGATAGCAAAGCACAGAGACCTCGACTGTAGAATAGTTGTTATTTTCTTTAAATTGAACCCTCTAATATTCATCTCACATTCAATTCAATTGATTTTTAAACAATTTAAATAGTTGTCAGATTAGTCTCTCGGATTAGTAAGTTTGCTACCTTAAGATTGCATATATTAGACAGGCAGATCATACGCTGAGAGTTTATCTCTATTAAGTTTAGGTTATGCAAATTTGTTCAAATCCTTTTGAAGTATTAATTGTATCCGGGTATATGAGCTGCATGGTTCTATAATTGAGAAAAAAAGCAAACTAAATAATGACACAAACTTAATAATATATTGAATTAGGACCAATTACAATTTGAAGTACTATATTATATATCTGACTCTAATGCCTAAATTATTTTTTGTAAAACAGCACGTTTGGAAGCTGAAGTGTCAGCAGCCATCAAGAACTTCACTCCAGTGAGGAACGTGATAGCTACCCCTACAGCTTCAAAACGACCACGCACTGATACTGGTTTGTTTGATAAAACATTTAATATTTACTTAACCTTTGTTTGCCTCCCATGATTTTTTTTATTTTTTATTACTTAGATGGATGGACGAGCTCACAGCCCACCTGGTGTTAAGTGGTTACTGGAGCCCATAGATATCTACAACATAAATGCGCCACCCATCTTGAGATATAAGTTCTAAGATCTCAGTATAATTACAACGGCTGCTCTACCCTTCAGACCGAAACGCATTACTGCTTCACGGCAGAAATAGCCAGGGCGGTAGTACCCACCCGCGCGGACTCACGAGAGGTCCTACCACCAATAAAAAGTGATACATAGCATCAAGCTAAGCTCTGTCAAGCTAATCCTTTTGGGCTCAACATTTGTGTGTATTAACTTTGGAAAATATTTCACATTCAAAATCACTCAAATGTACATTAACTTTTTTATAAATTTGATGTTTAAGTTTATTGTAATTATTTTTAAAATTTTAGATGGATCCCGACCATCATCAGCTATGTCATCAAAGTCCGATGAGAATACGGATGTAAGTAAATGTATTGATCAATAGTTCATTGGTAACATAAGGGTTTGGTGCGGGTGGGGCAGCTGTTAACAGACCTCTAACTCGTAGGAGAGCAGCTCAGCAATGCTCAAACTTTTATTTTTAGAATTTTTCATTTTAACTTTACAATTAGTTGAACCATACATGTCTATGCACTTAAAAATTGATGGTGATAATGGTGATGGGCAACTAATCAAATATGATTACTTTTCCAAAGCCCTTTAACACGTTCGGTGTGTAAATAAAAAAAATTAAGTGTTTTTTTTGCATGTTGATTCATTGTCAAAAATCTGTGTTGTCGAAAATGTATCAACAAAACAACCAACTGAACTTATGTGAATACATTTTTATATTTTTAATTATTTTCTAACAGGTCTTGCCAATTAAAAAGACACCGACGATACCCATAGTATGTTTTAATAGTTTTATAATAATACTAAATTAGAAAAATTATAAAAACTTTTAAAGTCTATGTTAAGTATTCAAGCTACATTAAGTATGAATCTGACAATATTTTAAATCTTGAACTTTAAGCTTAAAAATGTCTGTCATATTTATTCCAATAGTTATTATTTGGACAACGAAAGAAACTGTCTATATGGACACTTTGTTACACACGCACAGGGGTGGAGTTTACAGACTCTACAATAAGACTTTTAACAATTGGTCGAAAGTCTCAAGTGTGATGCCTGCTATCACACCAACAATCAGGCTTGGTAGCAATGCGAGGGAATTCATAGTATGCTCAACCAGTGAAAACAAATTAAGCGACATTGTCATATATCAGAGTGTACCGTCATCTCCTGCGCAGCGCCGCCGTGCCACCATCGACATGTCGTCTCCGGCTCTCCGCTTGCCGCTGGAGCGCGGCTGGAAGCGGGAGCTGGTGTACCGGGCGGCCCTGGACTCCCATTCCAGGAAACACGGTGACATATACTACTACACGCCGCTTGGAAAAAAGTTGAGATCTACTAGAGAGGTTAGTGCGATCATTTTGAATTTTTATTATGATCTAGCTGACCCGGCAGACTTCGTAGTGTCTCAATCGATAAATTAAAGTCCTAAACTTTTGTATAAAATAAACCTAAAACAAACAAAAAGAATCCGTCCGATGTGCGACACATCAAAGGGAAAACAAAATTGTTATTTTTATTTCATTCCGAGCATTTTCATGTTTATCTATCTTTTAAACCTTCTCTGGACTTCCACAAATCAAGACCAAAATTAGCCAAATTGGTCCAGCCGCTCCCGAGTTTTAGCGAGACTAACGAACAGCAATTCATTTTTATATATAGATTTTAAATAAACCAGGCAGCAAAGTGCTCCTGACATTGTTGAAGTCCATGAGCTCACCATCAGGAGGATGGCATGCTAGGTTTACTACTAAAGTAATAATAAAAAAACTTGAATTCTGGAGTGTCTGATTTTTAATATTTAATAGTACACTTATAACTGTCATATTTTTGTTGGTCAACAGGTGTCTGAGCAACTGGCAGGCACAGGACTGACATTAGAAAACTTTTCATTCTTCAAGGAGCCACTAGGAGTTGATGATCCTGATAAAGAAATTATACGGTATTTCTATAAATATTAGTACATGTTTATATTTAATAAGCACTGACAAATAGAAAAAAAGACTTTTTTTTTCATCGAAATGATTTATTTGTACACAAATAGAGGTAAAATTGTGTAATACTTATACTGAAAATTAAATTTTACAACAGTGACGCGAAGTTAATGCGCCGCGTGGAGTCCCCGGTTTGTAGCGCCCCGCCCGCCGTCGAGGGCAAGCGCACTCCCAAACCCAAGCCTCCCAAGGGGGCTAGTCCCGAACCTGTCGCGCTGACTTCCCCACCTGCCAAGATCAAGGTAAGATCGGAATGTGGTTACACACTAACGCTTGACTTAGATAATGAAGTTTCTAAATTATTTTATGAATTATATACAGTCAAACCTGGATAAGCGAGAGTTCAAGGGAGCACAATCTCATTCTCGCTTATAGAGGTTTCTCACTAACCCGAGTTTCTCGCCAATGCGCCCTCTGAATTTCATTTCGCGATTTTCCGGATTCAACATATTCACTATTTTAAGTTTATCACTTAATGACAGTACTTTAATTTTCCGTTTTGACATGAAGCAGAACAGAACTTTCTTTCGCAATTCATTAACAATAAGCTGAGTAAGTCCCACAAACAGGATAGTACACAGGCACACGTGTCCATCCGAATAGACTGATAAAATAACGTTATTTAGTTCCACGAAATACAATAGGTTCAATATTGACGAGAAAACAATACAAAAACAATGGTAGGAAGTTCCACGAAATTTAAGAATGAGTCATAAAATAGCAGATGTTAAATTTGTAATTTGTTTTGTCATTTGTTCCTCCTAAATAATATAAATAAATAAAGCTCCACTGTCGCTTATAGAAGTATAGATAAGTAGCAGTCTCACTTACGGAGGTCCATGAGGGGAAAACGACTCTCTCTTACAGAGGTTTCTGTTTCTCGCTAATAGAGGTTTTGGGAGCTTAAAATGATGGGTCCTGGCTATTACTCTCACTTATAGAGTTTTCTCACTTATCCAGTTCTCACTTACCCAGGTTTGACTGTATATGAATTGCTTGGGGGACTGCAGGATGCATTTTCAGACTCCTGCAAAGTTAGTTTTTCCATAGAATTCAAATGTGGTATATATGTAAGTGGTGACTTCGATTATTGTAATCAATCTGTCAAAATTGTTAGGTTAGGGACCTCCTATGGGCTTGCTGAATGATGTGTTAAGCGGGGTCAGAGGTGACAACACCGCAAAGGTTGTTTAGTAGCATGCCATCAAGAAAATCGATAGACGAATGAAGTACTTCAATCTCTTCTTAATCACGCCATCTACAACGCAGCACAATTAGCTTAATATATCTTCAGTGCTTTGATGGGAGACAGTTTGTAATGTAACAGCCTAATTTTGTATGTGGCATTGCTTTAAAAGATAAGACCAACTCTGGGATATGATTAATATGTTCCTGTTTCATGCTCATTTACTACAATAATCAATAGGCTGGTAGGGCAGGTTGTATGTACCTATCTGGTATTAACTGGTTACCGGAACCCGTATGTTAACTTGCAACGTGGTAGTTAGGTTACTATAAAACATATTCTCATTCTGGTCCAATTGTGAATTTAATTGTTTTTTTTTATTGCTTAGATGGGTGGACGAGCTCACACCCCACCTGGTGTTAAGTGGTTACTGGGGCCCATAGACACCTACATGTAAATGTACCTACCCATAATGAGATATAAGTTCTAGTCTCAGTATAGTTACAACGGCTGCCCCATCCTTGAAACCGAAACGCATTATTACTTCACGGCAGAAATAGGCAGGGTGGTGGTACTCACCCGTGCGGACTCACAAGAGGTCCTATCACCAGTATAAAATTCTTCTCATTGAAGGTGAAATCAGTGGGCTCACGTCTCAGCGGCTCGATTCCCGTACCAGCAGCAGCCCCGGAACCGAGGAAGCTGCCAAAGAAACCGCAACCCCAACAGCCGGCACCGACCACACCGAGCAACGCGGACAACAATAACACTGCAGCCTGGAAGAAACCCAGGTATATAAGGTTTGCCTTGTGACAAATGTGTTAAAGATGTAAAAAAAAAATCACTCTGGAAAAGGAAGGCAGGTTGTGGCTCTTGTTACTCTTGAATCATTTCAAATACATTGCATTATGTTTTTATACGGCACGTAATGTAAGCTAAAAACAGCTGACGCTTGGGGTGAACGCCCTATATTTTTGTCTCATGTGATTTGAATTAAAAATATTTCTTAAAAAACTGAGAATTCATACTCAACCTTATAAAAATTAATGTTACTATTCCCATATGTGTTGAACAAGTAGCTCAAAGAAAGTCTAATTATAATAACGGAGTGTTGTGAGTGGGTTTGGTATATCCTCAGACAGAGCCCGCTGAGTTTCTCGCCGGATCTTCTCAGTGGGTCGCGTTTCCGATCCGGTGGTAGATTCTGCGAAGCGCGGCTCTTGCTAGGGTTCGTGTTAGCAACGTCGTCAGGTTTGAGCCCCATGAGCTCACCTACTAGTTAAGGTTACGCTGAAATAGCCGCTCAAGGCTCTCAGCTTAGGAAATAAAATTTTGGTATTAAACAGAGGGTGTGGTCGTTGACCTTGCATCAGCTGATATTTTTACTTAGAGGACAATAATAAGTATTGTTTAACAAATATCTCATTAAACCTAACACAGTCGATAGCTTATCAACATCAACGCTGTCGAACAAGATACATCAGCCTTACAGCCTTCCTTCACCAGAGTTCGGTGCATATTTTAGACCTGGTGCTTATAACTGAGGAGAACTAAGACAGATCAGCATTCAGTAGTTATCTAATGTCCGGACGAGCAGTGTCAGATGCAGATTTACAACTGCTCTTAAAGTTGTTCGTAATTAACATCTCTAATGTTAAATACAGTCTGTTGCTGCAAAGTATTGACTTTGTCAATAGCAACATGTACGGCCACAACCTCTGCTAGTTGGTAAAGAAATAATTCCTATGCATAAACATTAAAACATATCAAATGTATGTCCTAATTCATTCTCAGTTATGAATGCTGAATGGAATAATGTAATAATGTAGCCATATTCAATTATAATCTAGTTAATTATAAAGCAAGACATTGTAAAACTTGAGAATTTTTATTTTGCTTACTAACGCTATTTCCATTGCAATACCAATTAAGTACGTGCATATAATGTATACCGGATTATGACGACATCCCTATAAAAGGGCGGGACAGCAATATGTTGTCACTACGCCTCCTTTGTCAATCCTTCAAATACCCAGCTGTCAAATTCCTAGCTGTCAAGTATTTTGACAGTAAATTTTCGATGTTGCCAGTCGTTGTAGTACCATCGGCGAACGATAGGCGGCGCGCGAGTAGTTTTCCAAACAACTGGTCTCGTCCGTGTAACAATAATGTTCCACAAAAAGGATCGTTATAGAGTATCCTATCTGCTGCCTTCGATTTGAAGGACGGGTCAGTGGTAGTACCAATTGACCCTCATATCTCAAGGTGCATTCGCCATGTGTCTATGGGCTGCCGGGACCAGCTCCACTAGGAGACAGTGAGCGCGTTAGTTCGTCTACCCAACAGAATTAAAAAAACGTTTAAATGCAAATTTTTTGTGCCAGTTGGTAATTGACGCCCGCAGACCTATGAAGGTTTTAGAAAGAAAAGAAAAAACCAAATTATTTCACTATAAAACGGTTTATGTATCTGTAATTTTTGAGTAAATTAATGGTAAGGAAGACAAGTTTTTGGATAAATTATTTGTAGAGTAAATCAACTTTTTTTTTCCGTCTACAATTCTTTCAAATAAAAAAAAATTGATTTAGAATCGATTTTCGAATCGAAAAACAAAAGTGTGAAGCACCCGGTTGTGTAGAAACTTTGGTGAGTGAACACCGGTTACCACCACGATCTTTCTTCTGAGGAATACGTGTTGTGAGCGCTGGATTCGTAGGGCTCATGTGAGCACTTAGCGCGAAGGGTCTCCGTGAGGTCTGTCCTTATGCTTAAAAAAAAGTTGATTTACTTATAACAACATATAATATACGCAAAGCATAACGCAAGGAGGGTTAATTGACATTGAGCAATTAGCCCTCGAGTGCGGGTACTGAGCGGTGACGAGTGTAGTGCGTGTCCGGGGCAGGGAGCACGCGAGCCCCCCGCCCGCGCCCCGCGGGGGGTCGCCCGTCCCGCCGCCCGCCCTCGCCGCCAGGATGCCCCTCGCACCCGCCGCCACCGACCTGCAGGTAACTCCAATTATATCTGGAAAATTACATTGAAGACTGTACGTTGCCTAGAATAAGTCATCGGAGATCTTACCGCGAACTATACTTATATATACTATTGTACCTAACTATACTGAGACCTTAGAACTTATATCTCCAGGTGCGTGGCGCATTTACGTTGTCGATGTCTATGGGCTCCAGTAACCACTTAACACCAGGTGGGCTGTGAGTTAGACCACCCATATAAGCGATAAAAAATAAAAAAGTTGTGGCCTAAAGTTTAAGACGTCCGGTGCATTCGGGTTGAGCGATGCACCGGTGTTCGGATCCCGCAGGCGGGTACCAGTTTTTCTAATGAAATACGTACTTAACAAATGTTCACGATTGACTTCCACGGTGAAGGAATAACATCGTGTAATAAAAATCAAACCCGCAAAATTATAATTTGCGTAATTACTGGTGGTAGGACCTCTTGTGAGTCAGCGCAGGTAGGTACCACCGCCCTGCCTATTTCTGTCTTATGTGTAAGGAGAACGCTGATGGGGCACGTCTTTTCGGATCCCCCCGACCCACTAACGGTGCTTTTAGGCTCCTCACGCACCGGTCACCGTTCTCTTCGACGAGTAAATTAACCCACAGGCACAGTCCACTGAGTTTCTCGCCGGATCTTCTCAGTGGGTCGCGTTACCGATCCGATGGTAGATTCTGCGAAGCACGGCTCTTGCTAGGGTTCGTGTTAGCAACGTCGTCAGGTTTGAGCCCCGTGAGCTCACCTACTAGTTAAGGTTACGCTGAAATAGCCTCAAGGCTCTCAGCTTAGGTAGGATAAAAAAAAATATCTGATGGGGAAGTGTATGTGTAGGTGACGCAGGCGGTGCGGCGCCGGGCCGTGCAGCCGTGCTCGATGGCGTGCGGGCGCGGCGCGGTGCCGTCGCTGGCGTGCGCGGCGTGTCTGTGCCTGTACCACCCCGCGTGCGCAGGCTGCCCCGCCGCGCCCCCCGCACACTTCCTCTGCAAGGTGCGTGCGTCACTGTTGTCTTGAAACGTGCTTTGAAAAGTTAGGTCTTGCTAAAGTCGATGAGACGCGGTAACGATTTATGTACAGATTTGCGTAACACTCATTCACATATGTCTGGGCTTGGTCCTTTAGTTTTTGTTTTAAATTTAGAGCGCAATCGATATGATACTTGGTAATTTTGTTAGGAACTCACCGTAGTTCTGTGTCCTTGTGGTTATAATAATATTTATCAGCACTATCTTCCTGGAGTGGCTACTCCTTTCTTCCCTCTTTTACCTTGATGATTAATTAGCTTCAGACTCAATTATCACTATTGTTTTCGCGATCACACAATTTTGATGCGCACGATTCAAAAGTCCACTTTATAAAATGGACATTGATATAAGAGGGGAAAGGGACGTGACTATCATCAATGCGCTCTCAATTTCGTTCAAAAATATTTTAAAACGACGTACGTCTCCGTCGCAGATAGCATAAAAAAAATTTGAGGTCGAAATTATTCGTGTATTAAAAAAAAAAAAACATATATATGAGTCGACTATTATCAAAGTCGGCAATGTGACTTTTGCATAATTATTGGTAAATCAGAAAAACGAATTATTGAATTTGTATTCCATTGGCAGTCACAAAACTCTTCTGAACGACATCTTAGATAAATAACAGGTTAAGTATTAACCTTTATTTAATGCAGGTTTTGAACCGTATTCTTTGAAGGAGACGATTATGTTCAAATCAATCTGTATTGAAATATCAATAATTTTTTTTTGTCCAAATGCACAGATTACCACCTTTGATAATAGACGACCATATACTAAAACTACAGCTTTGATTGTAAACGTATCGTTAACAAATCAAAGCGTGTATGGTCTTATATGTAATACTCCTTCCTATTCATCTTTCTTTCCTATTACCCTCTGCTTGGGTGTAGGGCTCGAATCAAGTTCTTCCATTTGCATCGATCTTGGGCGGTCTATTCTTCCTCCTTCCATGTCATACCCAACACGCCCGGTTCTTGCTCTACGAAGAAACACAGCTAATCATCTAAAATAATTATATTATTCTTAAGGTGTATACTGATTTTCCGAGTAATTATGTACTTGATAATACTACTTTTCTAGTTAATTACATTACACGAATTAATTTCTCGTTGAGGGAATCGCATTGTACAGTAAAATGGAACCCAGTGTTCTAACTGCGGTATCGTGCGCTTGGACTTGCAACCTCATGGCAGGTGGCGTGTGAGTAGAAGATACCCCATAGACATAATAAAATATAATAGATCATTTTTTCAATACTGAATTATTATTGTTATCACTTTTTATTATTGCCTTAGTAGGCAAACGAGCGTAGGACTCACTTTGATGGTGAGTGGTCATATCGCCCATGAACTTCAGCAATGTCAAGCCTACCGTTAAGTACTCTCCACAAGCCTCGTTTGAAGAAGGTTATGTCACAGCGCTCGGGAAACACCGTGGAGGGGAGCTCATTCCAAAGCCGGATGGTACGCGGCAGAATCGATCTCTGGAAACGCGCTGTGAATTATTCGATAGACAAAAAAAAGTGTGTGTGTGTGTATGTGCAAGTCACACATGGTAAAAGTGAAACTTATAAATAAGATATAGATATACTGACTATCCCACTACACAGGAGCATACATGTGGACAATGTTAAGTAGACGATAGTGGGGATGCTACGTCTAATGTGTTCTATCACATTCACTCGCCGGCTGAATCCTATACATTTATGTGTTTGTGTCTCTATGGACTTATTTTTTCGTTTCATCGAG